CAACTTCCACCCCAGGTTGGCAAGCTGGTAGCTGCTGTGGAGACCCTCACATCCAAGCTTGAATCGAAGCCACCAGCATGGTGCCAAGCCATCGTCCGTCAGGGAGAGCAGCAGAAGCTGTTGTCTTTGGACACATCCGCTCGTAGCCGACTTGGGGTTGAGGTGGAAAGGCAGCTTCGCTCATTGAAGATTTTGTGCGATTTTGATCTTGCGGAGAATCAGCGTCCAGAGTTTATGCAATCGGAGCCTTGGGAAGAGCCCAGCCGAATCAACCCTGGCGTCATGGCATTGCTGGACCTGATGTGCATGAAGCGTCAGGGGAACTCCATGCTGGACGCAGCCAAAGTTGATGTGGTGATTGATTTCTTGGTGAAGAAGGTCATTTGCATTGCAGAGACCATTTGTGAAGAAATCACTGCAGCCAAGAGGGGCCTCACTCCCCTCAACGAGAAACTCAGCAGGGATATCATGGCTGGATCTGATGCATCGGCATGGCTCGCTTCAAATCAGCTCCGCGACGCAGTTGCTCGCAACAACAAGGACACGGCAGAACTTGAACAGGGACTCAAAGGCCTGTGAAGTTCCAAACTTTTTTACGTGCTCGCAAAGCTTTTGTTTTTTTGTGTGTGCCACCCATCACATTGAGAGTCACGGTTTTGGAATACTAAATGCTAAATGCTAAGTTAAATTTTGATACGAACGAACTCTGTCTATAATATGTAATAAGTAATAATATGATAAAAATCTCATTATAATTAATTAGTTGTTTATATAGCATTAGTTGAATAGTTGTATTATAAATAATAATAATAAATATATTGATGATATTATGATATTAAAAAATAAAATGCACTCCCAAATTGCGGAGAACAAAATGACGCTAATGCATGAGACTGATGGATGATTCCATTGGCTGGTTCATATTTGGTGCGTTCCGTTCTGCATGGCAGGACTTAGAGAGCTTCAATCTCTTGAGACGAAAGCCTCCCTCATCTTGGGCTGGAAAGAGGATCTTCTGACCGGCAGCAAGGACATCGCAGACAATGGGTGCATCAGCAAGTTGGAAGAGTTCTCTGCCGTCCCTCCCAGTAGCAAGGGTCTTGGTGTCGGGATCTTTGTTTGCATGGCAGCAGAGATCTTGCTTCCTGATGTTCAGGCGGCAAATGTATCGCAAATCTTGACGGATGCTAAGCAGTTGATGGGAAACTTCCTCTCCAACACCCTCAAGATCAACAAGGCTTCCATCCCAAAGGCTGTGATGGCTCTCCTGGAAAAGCTCACCAAGGACTGGCAACGGGGATGTGTTCTGGTCCAGGTTCACTTTAAAAGATTCCGAACTGTTTAGGATTTATGACGTATGATTTGATCCATGATGATGAATAAGCGGATTGTTTTTCATTTGTTGATCAACAATATTCTTCAACACCTTGTAGTAGGGTCAATGTTGCGGGGTGAGATGCAGTCCGGGCGTGGCTTGCATGAATTACCTGGTTTTCGCTTTGACGTTTGGTCTATCACGGCCTATCAGTCTCTTAATTTTCATCTTATTTTTAACATCACCGGTTTGCTAAGTTAAAGCCTAACATAGCCTAACAACTACCCTTGAAACTGACACATCATTCTGCCGTGCCTACTCTGCAGCATCTTTCGGCACAGTGTTGGTTTGTTGCATACGAAACGATATCTGGATGCAAACAGGTCAGGTCAATCAAATTAGTATTCTTTTTCCACTTTGCTGTTTGGATTTGGTTGTATCATGGTTGCACTAAACTGTATCCATCACGAACCATTGCATTGAATCTTGAGAATGAATGGCACAACTTCCGAATGAGTACCGTATAGTCAGCGTTTTCTAATCTTCCTGTTGTGGTCTTGTTTCCCTATTTTTCCAGCTTTGGTACTTTTTTGTGCAGTTCCAGAATCACAGGAACATGTGGGCACCAGTCGGAAGACATCAAACTCCAACAGCCATCAAAGACAATTGGAGCTGAATCCTTTCGATCAGTCTCCGGATCTGGGTCAACAATTTTTGTCACTTGAGCACGGCAAAATTGTTGTGGGTTTCGCGCCTGCCTCCCAATGCCAACGCCCGGGCCCGGAAGCTGTAAAGCGACAAGGCAAGGACCAGAACCAGAACCACAACCCCTTTGATTCAACCCCTGATCCAACCCAGCTTTTCATCAAGCCCAATAGTACTGGCACATACACTTTAGTGCCAGATGTGCAGGTAAAAAGTGCAAAGGGGCAAGCACACAATGCCCAGACTCGGGCAATCAAAGAAAGCAAGAGCAAGATCTACCAAAACCCATTCAAAACAGCGCCAGACACCAACCAGTCTAAGATCAACACCTATGTTACTTGCAGCCGCACAAAGCATGAGCAGCAGAAGCAGCAGAAGAAGTCTCAACTTCAGGACCGTGTCAGTTTGTGTTTCGTTCGGTGATTCCAACCAAACCTGAGCAGTTCTTTTTTTCAGTCGGCATAGTCAGAGTCAAAAATATACAGCAATTACAGATATAATTAATAGTTACGTTTATAATTTATTCTTCTTATTGTTATTCTAAATGAGTCATGGGCCACGGGCTTCCGAAACTCAGTCTCAGACTTAGACCCAGAGTCAAGTGTTGTTCCCCAAACAGTGTGTCCAAACTGAGGGGTTCTTACGGTAGCTGTAAGGCCGGTGTTAGGTGCTCACTCTGGGCCGCGGCATTTTTCCTGTAAATTTTCGTTAAAAGTGGCTCTTGTGAAATTTTGACATGCATTTCGACTGCGCAAGCTCGCACAAAATCTGCGCTGCAGTTCTGGGCCCTGGCATTTTTCCTCTATTTTTTCGTATAAAGTGGCTCTTGTGAGTTTCGACTGCGCAGGCTCGCGCAAAGTGTGCGGCACGGTTTTGGCATGCGGCATTTTACTTGTAAATTTCCGTATAAAGTGGCTCTTGTGGAATCTTGACATGCATTTCGACCGCGCATGCTCGCACAAAGTGTGCTTCCCGGTCTTCGGATCGGTCTTCCTCCTCAACATCATCATTCATCATTGATCATCCTCCACCTCATCTTCCGCAACATCATGATCATCCACCTCATCTTCCACAACCTTACCATTCATCCTTGTCATCCTCAACGTCATCATCTTCCTCTTTCTCTGCATCATCATCCTCCACCTTTTCATCCTCCACTTCATCTTCCCCAGTGTAATTTTCATTTAATCCTCATCCACCTTCCCCTCCTCATCATCATCATCATCATCACCATCACCACCATTGACCATTATCATCGCCACCACCACCACCATCAACATCATCATCGTCGTCATCACCATCATCATCGTCGTCATCACCATCATCATCATCATCGTCATCATCATCATCATCATCGTCATCGCCCACCTTATCATCCTCCACTTCATCTTCCACATTACAAGCATCCTCATCCTCATCGTCATCATCATCATCACCATCACCATCATCATTAGTCCTCCCCCTCCTCCTCCTCCTCCTCCTCCTCCTCCTCCTTACCATCATCATCATCATCAACAACATCATCATCAATATCACCATCATCAGCATCATCATCAACATTTAACATCAGTGACCTCTTGCCGTGATAATTTGGTTTGTTTTTGGGGCTGTGGCTTCCAATGTGCAGGACTTGAAAGGAAAGATCCCGCTTCCGTCCTCAAGCGCAGGGCCCAGTGATGGTGCATCGGCCCCCGCGGCTGAGAAGCGCCAGAAGCTCAACCCCAAGAAGTGAGAAGATGATCTGTAAGAGACGGAAACGTTAGCATCCCTCTGGGTTCCAACCAAGTTGCGGGAGCCGTGCAATGCAAGCTGCACGACTTGCATGTGCCTTCCCCTCCAACGGACTGTAGAATAACTGGACCGGTTGTTGTCTAGTCGCCGCGATCATTATCGGATCTATGGTCTATAATACCAATCTAATTCTAATCTAATTCAGTGGTGTCCATCCATTCAGTTTTGGCCCCGGGTTCTGAATTTTCAATGTTCGATTCAGTCGTCTTGATGTCGGATCCTCCCGATCCGAATTCGAAGATGATCGCCAGGCCGTACTACTAACTAACTACTAACTGTTTGGAATTTGTCCAGTCGATTTGTGGTATTTGATCTTGCCAGTGGCATCTCATGTGACAACAGCCGGCGCCAGCTGCCAAAACGTACTTGGTTACTATTTGGGTGAGTTGGCACAGGCATGCCCTGACTGGGCCTTGGTGGTTTTGGCCTCCAGTCACCTTCGGGCTGCAACTTCCCACTCAAACTGGCGCCCAAGTTCTTTGAGTCTCGGACCCTAGCAAGGTTGCAGATTCTGATCGACTAACTGAATGTTTTTAACCATTTCATTCCAACGTCAATGTCTCACAAGGGACCCAGGCGATGAAATTTCAATTTGTAACTAGTCGGGAGTTAGTGATTCGATATGATATGATATGATATGATATGATATGATATGATATGATGATATCAATATCAATGAGATATTTTCTGATACATATTTATGTAAATTAGAATATAAAATATCAAAATACATTACATATTTATTATTTATAATATATATATATATATATGTATATATACATAATATAAATAATATATATATATATATATATATATTTAGATATTGCCATTGCCAACTTGCTGTCATTTGTGAACTTGTCATGATTCAGAACCTGCACCTATTGCTTGCTTGGACTTGCCACCACGATTGCTGTGCTTGCGCGAGACCCTCCGACACAAGAAAGAGAGAACAACCAGGACAGGGTGCTCGAAAAAAGAATGTGATCAGGGCGTTTTGGAGCATGCCAAAAATATGTTTTGCATAGGCTGAGACTGGCGATGTAGTTGCTGTAGATAGTTGTAGACTGTAAACTGATTGGCTAGGCTTGGCTGTAGTAGACGAAGGCCTTGGGGTCATGGAAAGAGTCAAAGAGTCGACTCCTTGGAACTTCAGACAGGGTGCCATGTGCTCTCATTCTGTTTTTCTGAGGCTCTGTCCTATGTGACCAGTGGCAAAACCCGGACAGAGTTTGACAAATTGAAAACGGATCTTGGCTTTGAGCACGCGTCCTTGGAAGAGTACCACAAGTATCTAGTCGTTTTTGTATGGTATGGTCGCTGCAGACATGCCGCGCCACTTTTTTCAACTGCCACAGGTGTCTGCAGTGTTTTGTAATGTTTGGCGTGTTGTGAGGTACTCCACATGGTGCAAGCAAAGATTTGGCGATATGTGGCTGTGCGGTATGAACGGCCGGGAAGTAGAACAATTGGACCTTCTTTGGCATATGACAGAGGCTTGCTAAGGACTTGCAGTGTCTGTGTGTGTGTGGCTACTTGCATCCAAGAATGCCCTAACAAATGTTAATTTGGGAAATTGAAGCCGATTTCCTGACATAGAAACAGTTTTAGGCGTTTGGGGATTGAAACCCATGGTATCAGGAAATCTCCATGGCTCTTTATGGCGTTGAGGTTAAGAAGAGTTAGGAGTTGTTTGATTTTTTTCTGCATTTTGAATCCCGAACTGTAGGCTACTTGTAGTTTCCAAATGTTTCCTGTGTAGATTCACGATCCTGGAAGATATTTAATTTGCTGCAGTGTTCAAGTTGGAACATTCCACATGTGCAGGTTGGTGAGAGGGACCGCCTTGTCACTGACATAATCAAGTCACTTCGGCGTGGAGCACACAGATCAGATGGGCTTGCGCCCACGTGACTCGTCTCATTATTTGAATCCGATCAGACAAGCCAGTGAAACCATGAACACATGTTTTGCTGCAAATTCAGGTTGACCACCAACTCCAAAGTGTATGATTTCAAGTTTCATCGACTCCTCACGCCTCCAGACATGCTTGCTTTGAGACTTGCTGGCATTTGATGATGGCTTCTTGTCATCGTCTGATTTACTTTCTGTTGGATTTTGAACTGAGTTGGCAAGAGCACTGAGCCACTGTACTTCAGGCATGGTTTTCGTTTGGACCACATCAAATTCCCATTGGGAAGCAAGAGGTCCTTGTACAGCATGCTGGCAGGACTCATTTTTTCGCGCAGAGAGTGGGATTTACCTTTTTTCATTGCAATAGTTTGAAGTAGTTCTGGCTGTTAGGATTGCAGCTGTACACTAAGGACTTGACTGGACTGACTTGACTTCGTTTAAGTAACTTCACACATACTGATTCCTGATTCATTCGTGTGGGATTCTGTATCATGAATCATGCAGCTGAAGCTGCGTGATCTCTTTCGCCAGGAAATGCGATGTCAGTTCCATGCATTGGAGCTGTGTTGACATCCGCCCTTTTGACTTGCAATGTACGTGAGTGCTTTCGTGTGGCTATGACACCAAGCCCTATGCTCCAAATGTCCAGCCACGAAAGCAGTAGTGATGATGGGGATTCAAATGGTTCATCTGAACCAGGAGGATATTCCGAAGCTGTGCGACAAGCATGGCCCACTGTGTCTCATGCAGGATCTGGATTTTCACCGAAAGAATTGCGCAATTTTTTGCAGAAGCCAGGAGGGTCAGTCCTCTAGCCGCACTGAACACACCGCTGGAAAAAGGGGTGGAAAAGTGGCTGGAGGGGTGGTCCTTGATTGTGACCCAAATTTATTGAGATTCTGCCGCAGGCGTTGCCGCCCCCTTTGGCCTGCAGGTTTGCCACGCTTTAAAGTTTAGTTATAAGCATTACAGGGGTATACCAAACCCGAACCTTGGAAGGTCCAACATGAAGAAGGATAACTAGTCAAAGAGTTGAAGTTGCATCTTTCCATTGTTCAATCCTATGAATGGCATATCCTCGCCGCTGCGCGCGAGCAAGCTTCCATGAGAAGGAGCATTGAGACTTTGGAGCCTGGCACATGTTGTCAGTATTTGGCGTCTATTTGCGCCAATGGATTGAACACCAAGTCAAAACACGTATCGTTCTCTACGTGTCAGAGGTCCTAGAGAAAAGCGCACTGTTCGCATCGCTCCTCATTCGCAAGGCGGTGGAGAAGGAAGTTCTGAACAAGGGCAAGCTGAAGAAATTGATTTTCGTATTTGACGCAGGCAATCATTTTAGGTCTTATGAGGCTGCGCACAATACCATGATCTACATCCCGCTCCAATACAAACAACCCTGCGTTACCCGCTACCTGGTGGAAAAACATGGAAAAGGACCGTGTGATGCTCAAATATTTTCCCCCATGAGGCGATTTCTGAAACAAGCTTGCCTACGCCCTGCTTTTTTTGCGGAGAACGAACGGCAAGTAGTAGCTGCTTTAAAAGAACAGGCAGCCAAAGAACAAGCTGCTAATCCTGATGGTCCTGAATGTGTGATCGAGGTTCCTACCCTGCCTGCGCGAAGACCTGCCGCCAAAGTGATCACTATGCACAATTGCCAGATCAATCGCAGCTATTGCTTTGAAAGCCTGCTTTCCAAGTCTGCAGCCAACGGGGTGCAGATCCGCAATTGGATTTTTTCGGATTCTGGGAGCTTCGACAGATTGAATTTCTCTGTTGAGGAGAAAGCACCGGAATTCGCAGAATGGAAAAAAGGATATTTCCAGGACCCATCCTGGCAGAAACCGCCATTGGAATTAGGTTGCGACAACGCAATCACTAGAAAGTACCAAAGTCAAAAAGATCGGCCATCCACTCGTCCAGATATGAAGAAGAAACCAGCACGCACAGTGGCAAGCCTATGTCTCAGAGACGAACGCCAATTGGCCAGCCATTTGGCAAAAAAGAAACGGAAATACAAAGCATGGCAGCCCGATGACAGTGATATCAGCCTTTGAGGAAAAGGTGCTTTTCTCATGTTGCAGGTGTTTTCCACTTTCATGGAGTTCGCTGACCAGTTGGCAAATGGATCGTCCTTGAAAGAATATAATGATTTCAAATACCATTTACTAGCCATTTAAGATAATCCCATGGCACATATACGCAAACCCCTGTAAAACGAAGGTGACCCTTTATAACGAAGGAAGAATCGATATTCCATTTTGGGGCAATAGAGTTTTGGAGATAGCCCACATACATACAGACAGACATACAGACGTACAGACAGACAGACATACATACAGAAAGACAGACATACAGACATACAGACAGACAGACATACAGACAGACAGACATACATGCAGACATACAGGCATACAGACGTACAGACAGACATACATACAGACAGACATACAGACAGACATACATGCATACGTGCATACTTGCATACAGACAGACAGACAGACATACAGACAGACAGACGTACAGACAGACAGACAGACATACAGACATACAGGCATACAGACGTACAGACAGACAGACATACAGACATACAGGCATACAGACGTACAGACAGACATACAGACATACAGTCATACAGGCATACAGACGTACAGACAGACAGACATACATACAGACAGACAGGCATACAGACATACAGACATAAATGCATGCATACACGCATAGCAGTGTGTATGTGTAGGTATACAAGCCATTTTAGACAAGTCTTATTGTTACTGTTTGTGTTAGTGTTTGCTTATGTCTCCCCAATCTTTGATAACCAGTTTAATCCTTGAGTTTCTGTAGAACATCACCAGAAGCAGCAGACGCCTGGACGCGGCACGCCCGAACACACCGCAATTCGCTCCAGATGTTTTTTTTGGGCGCGCCCCCGAACACATGCCAAATAACTCACTAAAAAGAATGTCAGATAGAATGCCATGAATGTCAAAATAGATGCCAGATAGAATGTCAGATTGTCAGACTATATGCCCGAAAGAATGTCAGAACTTCAGAATGTTTTTATGCCATATATACTTCCAGGTGATATGTCAGAAACTATGTCAGAATGTGAGAATAGTGTGTCAGGGTGGGGATCACTCGAAGGACTGTAATTGTGGACTATCAAAGATTGACCATGATATTTTGTGCTAGTTAGATGTTTACCTCACTAACAATCATGTTTGCTCAGGTCTTTCATTTCAAGGTCAGTACACGAATCGGCATTGCTACAGCTGGCAGCCAGGAACATCCCCAAGATGTCCCTGGCGTTTTCAGCGGGTAAATCATTTGCAAAAGAGATCTACCAGCTGAACTGGTTTTTTTTTAAACATAGACGTGGTAAACCCATGGTTTCCTTGGAAAATGATCCAAACATGGTGGATTTTCCACATCGAACTGGCAATGTTTACAGAAGGGTAACCGTTGGATTGGTTTACAGAGGATCACTCCACTTGGTAATAAATCCCCGTTCAGTGGGTGATCACATATATAAATGGTGAACTAACTGCAGAAACACCACAGTTATGTTTGTTGGATTTTGTTGGTATACACATGTATATACACCATGGTAACTGTTCTTCGATATATTTACCGTAAACCCAAGAGTTCTCGGAACTCTAAACCAGTTCCTAACCGCTTAGCCTCTGCTTATTAAACGTAGCTATGGAAAATCACCATGGTTTGATAGGTTTTTTCTAGGTAAATCACCATAAATCATCTAAACATGGGCCATCTATACCAGTTCGCAAACTGTTTTTCATAACCAGGGGGTATAACTCCTCCGGTGATCCCTGGCCAGGAGGATTACACCCGAGGCACCACGGAAGTGAGATCTCAAATGCGTCAGCCCGGCTCCAAGGCCACAGGTGGGGTCTACAGAAATCTTTCGTGGATGTCATGTATTTCTACATCTGTATATATATATATATATGTACATATATATGATATATAATATATAATTCTAAATATTATGTGTGTATATATATATATATATGTACATTCTTCATAGATAAGAAAGGTGGGGCTTGGACAACCCCAGTGAATGTTGGAAAAGAATACAACAAACATGGGAAACTCCTGCTCATTACCAATAAAAGCAGTGCATGCATCTAACTGACAAGTTGGTGGTCCTCCTCCTCCATGTTGGGAGGTTTGTAACTGGGTGGTAGTACCTCAGGTATCAAGTTTCATACTATTTGATTAATGTTAGTAAAGCAATGTCAGAAACCACCCATATTTTGATGGTTTATCCCACCCATCGACATGGAAAATTTGGGGATGGTGGATCCTATTCCTTTAGCAACATTACTTATGTGGATGGCAGAAGGTTGCCTTTGTGGTTATTTTATTTGCTTTAGATCCATCCCACTGCGACATATAGAGGGATCGTAAAAAAGTAAAACAATTCGCAGCTGCTCAAACGACAGGTTGCTGTCGCGTAAAAAGAAAACAATCACCAACCACCAGCAACTTCTATTCCCTGCTCTTGCTGGCTTTCTACAAAAAGTTGTCAGGCTATACATCACACGTTTCATAGTACTCGTAACAAGCTACACAAATGACCACGGATATTCTCACGAAATTCTGGATGTGCCAGATGTTATTACTTCGAAACTATGACTATATTCATCAGCAAAACAGAAAAAACAACACAAATCTTGGATCTTCCATGGATTTTCCCTGACATTTTTCCATGGTTTGGATTTTTCCCATGATTTTTCATGATTTTCCATGACATTTTTCCATCAGTTTTGGGTGTCCAATCGTCCAATCCGTTACCGTTAGCAGCGGCGCCATGGCGGATTCTCCGCTGGCCCTGAGCTCCGAATCCTCCAATTCCATGGTGCGGGGGCCATGGGGTTCGGCGGAAAGGGCGCAGGGTTTTGATGTCCCATGGCGCAGGGAGATCTTGAAGAAAAAACGATGGAAAATCACCATTGTTTACCCTTTGGTAAACTAACATAGCTATGGAAAATCACCATTTTTAATGGGAAAACTCACTATTTCTATGACCATTTTCAATAGCTATGTTAGTTTACCAGAGGGTATGGGTAATTCAACTATTTCGACTGGATCATTTTCAATAGCTATGTTATATAAATTACCAGAGGGTATCTACTGGAGATGATATGATTGTATATCCCCAAAAGTTGGGTGATGTTCAATTAGGACATTTACCAACCCCTGCATGACAGACATGGTGGATTTTCCTATCTATGGCAATGTTTTTTCTATGGCAATGTTTTTTCATGAGGGTGAGGGCAAGTGGTAAAAATAGTGTGATCTTCCAAAGGAAACGGCGGAAACGGTTAGTTCTTACCAGAGGGCATTGTTATACAGATCTATTGATGGTTCAGGATCCATGACCGGGAAATCATCCCTTTCCATGGCCCTACGATAACCGCTATTCTCAGGTTAGTGAATTATTACAATTCAGCAATTCAGCCAGAATTGATGGCTGGATTTAAGGTGGTAAACCCAGCGCCATTCACCATCCCTAATGATAAATGAGAAACGATAATGATATATAATGATAATGTATGAGACCCCTGATCTCAAGAGACCATAAACAGAGCCATGAGGACCACTTGGAGCCATAGATGAGGATCCATCCCGCGAAAACTCAAACATCATTCCCTGAGTTGAATCATGGGAAGTGCTGGGAACACATATTTTTTTTGAGTTGATATCTGGAATCTTAAACAGATACCACAGAGATCCACAGAGATTGACAATAGTTTTCTAGTCAAAACATGTCAATTTCCAGTCAAGACATCTGCGAAGCACGGGCAACACGGGCAGAAAAAGCCACTTCACTAGCGATCCAGGCAGTTGCGGAAACACTGCTGGGGAAATCACCAGTCTTCCAAGCCCAGCCACTGCCAGGGTCTATGTCGATTTACTGGAGGGTCACATACATTCAATGGGAGAGTCCCTGGTCCAATCCCAGGCGGCAAGAACCGAGTCCAGTTGGCGCGAGTGGTCCGAGGCTAAACAGAACTGGGGCCCCCAAAAGGTTGGGGGTTGGTTGGGATGATTTATTATTGGGCTTAAACATTGGTTAAACCTCATTGCAGTATTGGAGCCAGATTCTTCTGTGTTTCTGTTCTTAATATCTGTTCTTAATTGTGTTTCTCTTGTGGTTGCTGTTATTGTTTTGATGTTTCTTATCGTAAAAGTATCTCTGACTGACTGAATACGTCGAACCACAGGTTCCCGTTCGCAATTAGAGGTCGAGGTTTGCCAGGGTCTCCTTAGATGCCAACGATTCAACAGGGGTTGTTTATTTGGGCCTTGCATTTGTTTCTTGATTGAATTATCATATATTGTATTATATTATATTATATTATATTATATAATTATATATATATATATACATATCAGTCTCCTGCTTGACAAAGGAAAACATCAGAAATGAGCAATTAAGGAAAATCCATCAAGAATGGTCGTAATCATAATCTCATGATATCTTATGATTTCTTTGAGATAATCCAGGGCATGAACTTGACAGCGAATGAGGTCGCAGCGGGAGAATGGAGAGGATGGCTACAAGTGTCTCGGATTTGTGAAGTAGATCTAGATCTTGGAAGTAAAGCGGATTCCCCACCCGAAATCAACAGGATGTCAGCACATGGCGGTGCTTGATGGTTCCAAAGTGTTCCAAAGGTTTGTATTTGTGTTATCCACTTTACGAATTACTGTGTCAAGCAACCAGTAGATTCTGTATACGGCCAACTCCATTTGCTCATCAGCATCGAGCTGTAAAAAAATGTTGGGCGCAGGTTCGTTTCCAACTTTTTTTTGGATTTGACCCCAGTTTGTTTTACGAAGATTTGATTTGGGATCGGTCTTAATACGGTTATAAGATGTATTAATAATAATAATATATATATATATATATAATATATGTATATGCATATATGATTTGGGATGGGGTTGAAACCGTTTGCTCATTGTTGTTCAGAAGCCGCATCGAACGGATATCCTTTTTCGACTGTCACTGTATGGTGAGTATGGTGAAGTGCGCCACAAAGCCAAGATCATCGTAGATATGTGGTAAGTTGGTTTGATTCAAACCATCACTGTCGAGAAAGTGAACTCAATCTTTAGGTGGAAAAGAAGCAACCAAGTTAGTGCCATATCCAACATTTCTTTGCATGGTACCCCAAGAAGAATAGATCGAGTCCAAGAGTAAATCAGGGGTTCGTGGATAAAAGGAGTTTGCATGTTAAGATGTTTCTTGAAGGTTGGTTTGTATTCCTAGATCAGACGATAGGAAGACCATGTTAATTGGGCGTTGTCCATTGTGGTGGATATATCTCGAGATGTTTCCAGATGGGTCAATAGAACTCTTGAAAACCAACTTACCTATCTTTTGAGGACCTATCTTTGTGTATGTGTTTTTTTAATTGATGATTATCATGGGGATGGTAAACACCTTTAAATGCCAGCACCTCAATTGCGGCCGCCTGCGCAAGCAGCGGCCCACCGGGGCGTCCATCGGATTCATGGGATCCGATGAATCATGGTTATTGTAATTATTATCATCATATCCATATGGAAAATAAGCATCTTTAATAGGTAAATCATAATTTCTATCATCTATAAATGGGCCATATACCATAGCTATATGTCTGAAATAACCACAGGGTCATGTTTTTTTTTTAAAGCTTTGCACGTTTGGGGATTATCATGATCTATGATGGGAATCCAGCTCTTCAACAGATTGGTTGACAGCGCACAAAATGTGGACTTCTAAGCCAACGTTAGCATCCACTTACTATAAGAAGGTACCAACTTACTATAAGTTATCAACCAAAGTTACTATAAGTCAGTCATATTTTTTTTTTACACCATGTTATCTCCCAACCGTCCCTTGAGGTTTGGGGATTTTTCTCGTGGACTTCTGCATCAGATGAAGGCGAGCAGCTAGGGAACACCTAGGGTTTCCCAATGGTTTCCAACCAACCAACCAACCAACCAACCAACCAACCAACCAACCAACCAACCAATGGTTTCCCAGTGGTTTCCCGGAAAATGACTATGCCATAGAAATGGATGAAATATGATGAAATGCTTGGTCGAAGTCACATGGCAATATATTTCACGAGAGAGTTGATCTGGCGAATGTTCAGCAATCTTTGATTGCTCACCGGCACAGTATAGATATGCGTGATAACAAATAAGTTTTTTTTTTCCGGATCATTTTGTCACAATTGAATATTGAAATGTATTGAATGAAGTATCTCAATACTTCAAACATATGATGGGAACCACACTAATATGTACTTAAACACTTAAACTAAAATTTACCAGATGTTGTCGGCTGGCAGAGCTTAAGTTTTGAGCCACAGCAATTTGTTCTGCCAACAGCCAACGCAGATGAACTGATCTGAAACCGTCCCATGTTCTGGGGTAACAGCCAGATCTGGTTGGTGATTTCAAAACATTTCAATCATGTCTTCTTATTCAACCACATTTAAGGATGATAATCCCAACTGACAGCCAAAAAAAATCAGGGCCATTGAAACCACCAACCAGAGATGCAATTTCATCCCCAAGCTTGAATGGTTTAATCCTTTCGTTGTTTGCTATACCGGCTATGGTTATTTAACATAGCGAACTGGTATAGATGGCCCATCCATAGATGATTTATGATGACTTACCTATTAAAACATTGGATTTCCCATAGCTACGTTAAATAACCAGAGGGTAGATGGAACATAACCGTCAAAAGCGAAATATGTGTGTTTTTTTTCCGGTAGACCACCAAAGATTGACCATGGCATGATGTAGATTGTGATGAGCTTCTGAGAATGGATCCACATCTATCAGCAGCCAAAAGGCGGTCCTTTTTTGAGCCTTGGCGCAGATTCCTTCTGTTCAGACAATCCAAGTGGCTGACTTATTGTGATGAACTAAACCTTGTCAATTTTGTGGGTCGAGGCCCCATTCGGGTTCCCGCTTTGGAGTTTAAATCAACAATTAACAGGCCCTTGATGTTTACCCTCTGGTAAACAAACATAGCTATTGAACATGGCCATAGAAATAGTTGATTTACCCATAAAAAATGGTGATTTTCCATAGCTATGTAAACGTTTACCAGGGGGTAACCCTTGAGAACTTACCTTAATTCCCTGACCTCTTGGGCAGCCGTTGGATGTTTCACCACAGCGTCGGACAGTTTGACAAATGTTGACGTGGCACATTGGAACGCAGCTTATACGAACGCTGTACTTGGAGCTTGGGATCTCAATATTTCTTCAGCAATTGATAGTCTGCAAAAATCGATGGAGCCGAATCGAGCCATAAAAAATAGTAAAATATTCTGCAGTTTTGCATGGGAACACATAGTATTTGAAGGATAACATGGGCCTGCAATTCTGGGAACCCACTGCTTCCAGGTGCAGTTCTAGGTAGTGGTAAGTGAATGTCTAGCGACGGTTATGAAGATGATATCCCACCTTATGGTGGTTATTACCCTGGTTATACCGGTCATTCAACCATCATAATCATTCAACCATGATTACTTCCTGTACCCATTGTTAACCCATATGACCATTTAACAAAAAAATAACTCAACTGCACCCCAGTGGTTTTGGCAGCTTATCTCGTTGAGCGTTGAGGCGGGCGTCAGAGATTTGAAACACAAAGCGGCTGACGCTGCGCTCACCCTGAAGGACGACACGACAAGGATGGAAAGATCATCTCACCCAACCCTGGTTTTTTTGTTAAGTTCCCATTGAGTGGTGTTTTTTTAATGTTATAACATGGCTTATCAGAATGGTTCTGCTATATGTGGGTTATCTGATGATGGGTGAGAAGCATGGGACCATTAAGCCACCGTGGCGATCCGTGGGGTGATCCTCCAAGATAACCCATGATGTTTAACCGTTTAACCCTCATTGTTTCCAGGTTTCTCCAGGTTTCCAACTTTTAAGTATTTGTTTGGTGGGTTGCTATACTGCCGAATTTCAAAAGAAGTTAACAATATTTTTATAAAAATTCGGCATATTTATATCTATATTTTTATCCACTTTGTCTGTTTATAAAGATCCTATATCTATATTTTTCCATATTGACACCCTTCAGGATATTAGAGACAGGAGTGTGTTACATTGTTAAGTAGCCCTTCAGCCATTGGGCAATGTTTTTTGTGATTCAATACTTGGGGGTGCATCCCACTTAGTAAATGGGTTATACGGTTATACCCCCCAGTTATATGTGGAATATCCCCTATTATATGTGTGATATTTTTTGGGGGGTTATATGGTTTAAAAACCATTTACCCTCTCGTAAACTAACATAGCTATTGAAAATTGCCATTTATAGCTGATTTACCCATTAAACATAGTGATTTTCCATAGCTATGTAAACGTTTACCAGAGGGTACTGTTTTAAGAACGGGATGCACATCCTTTTGTATCCGAAAAATGGTCTATTCGGGATCCTGAACCAAGCCATTACGGGGGGCAAGGACTATAAAGGTACGGGACAAGGAGGTATTTGTCACAGCATTCTGACTTCGAAACGTAAATCTTCCTGGTGAAATCACATCTTGTTCAGTAGAAAAAGGTGCCTGGTGCTGGTGTATCCTGATTGCTGTGTCTTTCATTTTTAGTGTTTGATCCTTGCTTTGGTTCATCATGCGTTCTCCGGAAAAAAAAACGGCAGTCAATATCTTGTCGCCCACCCAAAAAAAATGAACCCCCATGATGTGATGCACCAAGATGTCACATGTTGCATGACAATCAGTAGATTGTCGCCCACCCCTCTGACCTTCGGTGACCGAACCACGTTGATAGTCAAATGATATGAGAATTGCGGGATTCATAAGATGGGTAAGTCTGCCACCCCCTCTGAACTTCACGTTGATAGTCTCATGATATGTGACCTGATCATTGAAATGGATCAATATGGATAAGCAATTTTTCAGTGGCCTTAAATGGCCATTTGAATGAGAAAGTATGGGAACACTATCCTGATTTTTTCAGGTTTATAGCGCTGTTTCAGGCTCGGAACTTCGACTCGATGGAGACTTCATAGCGGCGAAGATCACAGGAGACTTCCTGGCCAGCGAAGCTTCGACTTGCGAAGGAACCTGAAACCTGAAACTTCCCGCGATCTCCGAGCACATCGGCCCAGGAGAGGAATGGCGCTTCTTCCCGCTACAAATTAAACAACTTAAATCAACTTAAGCAAACAACATGTTCTGAAGCATAGATTTACGCATAGATTTGCCGTCGAACGCAACCAGGCCAAGTCTGCGGTGCATGTTGATCGTGTTGTGATGAGATATAAAAATTATAAAATCAATTGAATATCTATGGGGATTTCGTGCTTTTTTATGGTGATTAATAGATATTGAACCAAGATATAAAATCAATTGAATATCTATTCTCTGAAAAAGATTTGAAAAGGACTTGATCATGGGCATACTTCGGCCCCCAAAAAAATTCAGCCCCATTCCTCTACGAAAGAATCATCTGTCAATGCCTCGGTGGTCTGGCTGCGAATATGTGTCGCGGTGCTTCTCTTTACGGGGTGAGTTCCGCTGTGAAGATGATGTTTTACCATCGGGTTATTTAATTAACATAGCCATGGAAAATCACCATGCTATTAAGTTCGGTATGGGCCATCTATTTCGATTAGGGCCATCTGGCTTAACCATGGTATGTTAGTCATAGATGTTTCTCATCAGGTTTTATCAGGCGATTAATAAGGCAAGTATTCAGATCGGGGATGATCGAGCATGGATCCTAAGTCAGTGGGCCACCTGCCTTATTAATATGGGTGTGTCTGAAAATAGTGTACCCCTAAACCCAATGGTTAATGATCATTATCCCTATTAAATGGCTATAATTGGGAATATACCCTATTTTCAGACAAACCCATATATCAATATCACATCATACTATCTTTGGCAACCACGGCCCTCATTGCATCTGTTTGATAATATTTGATAATCCGTTTGAAATTTTAGTGACACACATACTTCAGAAGTATATCTGAGATAGTGTAACATATCAACTGATAAATGTATATAAATGTTATATTACATACTCAAAAAGTAGCTATAGAAAATAGAAACCTCATGACATCCAACCAATTCTCTCTCCCTGTGATCTTTCTGTATTTGGCAGAATTATATCGATGACTCCATGACCTTACCAACAATGATGGCTAGATCTAGGTGGCTATGAGTGATTGGGTAGCCCCAATATAAATGAATGCTACAGACCAAGAGAAGTGGTCGCCACTGTGCTTCAAGTTTGACGGTGGACCCCAAAAAAAAGGACCCCCAAATGCAGCTTGTTGATGGAATCGCCAATATTCCCAGACTTGGTGACAAGGAATATTTGCAGTGCGGGGTGCTCATGGTAACAACAGATCCCGGCTTCATGTAGATTTATCCATGTTTATGATAAAAACCCAGTGTTTCCGGTTAAGATATCCCAACTCTTTATGGTAAATTGTTCCAACTTTCCATGCTACACTCGGATTTTCCGTTGAAGATTTCCCAGTTTTTGAACAGTTTTGAACAGCAGGAGACCCACGAGCAGCGTGCGGTGGACTATGTGCGCGAGCTGGCCGCGTGGGGTCCCAGCCGGTGCCCAGTGGGGGCACCCCCAACTCAATGGATGGCTATGGAACATGACCATATCCAGCAAAAGATGGTGTTTTTTTGTGGACCAGCAAAGATTAACCATGATTAATATGGTGTAGATGTGTTTTTTTTGAGATATGATCTGATAGATATATATTAGATGCTATTATTTTTGGGTTTGTTCATCTGGATGAGTTTGATCATGACCTCCAAAATCGTTATTCCATGCCACTCTTAACTTTTGAAGTTACTTTTTTCTGGGAGAAATCAGAAAGTTCTCCCCATTTTTGGGTGGTCGTTCAGTCTCCGCAAAGATACGGCCAACTTTTTTACCAATTCCACTGGATCATCATGAGGATTTTACTACCTCTGGAGACCCAAATGTTCGATCAAAGCAACTATGTTCAATCCGCACCGTGCCAATGATGATAGAAGACATTCCAATATATGGGTTTGTCTGAAAATAGGGTATATTCCCAATTATAGCCATTTAATAGGGATAATGATCATTAACCATTGGGTTTAGGGGTACACTATTTTCAGACACACCCATATCAGTGATCAGTATTGTTGAGTTGATTGTCGCTTTTGGATTCCAATGATTTGATCCAACTAACATATCTCAAAAACATGAGGCAGGCATTGATTTCCCCGTTGTGTCCTAGGGACCTTGACCTCACCTGGTGATGGAATTCACCACCTAATCCCATGACTGATCCATGGTGCTGGTATATGAATGCTAACATCAAGGGGGTTTTTGTTGATGGGATCCATGGCACACCATATATAGCAGCACCATGGATCCTATATATCCGTCATGGGAATGTCCGAGAGTTGTCGCACTAAAAATTCATGTATTTTTATGGCACCCAGACAGAATTTCCTGTGAACCCCCTAAGGCCAGTGACGAAGACTTACAGGCGCCCCGTTTTCGATGGGCGCCCATTGAGTTCGTTGATTGAGCTATTCAAAATGGGTGATTTTCCATGGCTATGTAAAGGTTAGAGAGGGTAATATTATGTAATATTTATTAGTTGATCTACCTTTTATAGTTGATCTACCTTGTAAAATTAGTGTTTTTCCATAATTGTGTTGGTTTACCAGAGGCTGGGTATCATCAATATATGTTTGGATTACCATTAGTCAAACCAAAATGGGATGTGGCCAACAAAAAGGGCAATACACCATTTATATAATACAACCAAGATAACACTAGCAACTGACAAACATGATGATTTCAGTGAAAACACCACGTTCTTGCACATGAAAACAACGGGATCTTATGATATATCATTGATATCATGATGTATCATGCTATGTTATGTTTTCTCATGATATATCATGCTACATTATGCTAGATTATGACTGGTTGGTGGTTTCAAACACTTTTTATTTTCCATAATACATGGGATAATCCTTCCCATTGACTGATATTTTTCAGAGGGGTAGGTATACCACCAACCAGATGATATATCATGATCTTTGATGATATATCATGATATTCCAACGCTGAGCCGCGTGGCTGTTTGGCACACACGGATCTCCCACGAACTCAAGGAATCGTTCGACAGGTGTAGGGAATTGGCCTTGAAACCAACATTTTTTAGTCAGACTTTAGTCCAGATGGGTATAGGTCAAAATTGGCTACCAATGATATATACTGGCTGGTGTGGGAATAATCATCCCAACTGACTAATATTTTTCAGAGGGGTTGAAACCACCAACCAGTATATATATATATATTACCGTCTGGTAAACTAACATAGCTATGGAAAATCACCATGTTTAATGGGTAAATCAACTATTTCTATGGCCATTTTCAATAGCTATGTAACAAATTACCAAAGGGTAAAATCCGTGGTCGCAGAGGCTTCGGATGTTGACCCGTCTCCAGATCAGCTTTGCTGAGAAGGGTAGTGGTATAGCTGCTATAGATATTTTGTCGCATTGAAACCTGACAATGAGAAACCCCAAATTCCATCAAAATCATCAAATTCCAATGGCGGACATTCCATGTTTCGCGGGTGAAAATCATTCCCCCAAAACATGTTCTGATGTAACTGCACCATGGATCATTTGCACATAATTATTTGCTCGATGTGGTGACCCTCAGTGATGTTTGTTGGTTCATAATCCCATCTATCTATAGATATATCATGATATATCCACCATAAACGCCCACAAACCAAAGTTATAGCAACCACCCAAAAGAATAGAAAAGGTTTATTCAATTCATCACAATTTCCGGACTGGATTTTACTTCTCGTTTTTCTTCGCAGGATGTGGCCCAGAATGCCATGGAAGCGAAAGCCTCCACGAGTGCAGAACGCCTTTGGACACAGATCTGCAAGGAGCCGCGGTTCGCCGCGGCGAAGCCCAGGGCCCCAGTGAGGTGACCAATACCACAGGGTCTGCAACAATGGTGGTACTCATGTCGACCATGGCTTTGAATGCTGAAATGGTCGAAATGGATGAGAACTGGGGGTAGCCCTATTCTAGGAAACACCCATAGCACCAATAGCTGGTTAAGATTGGCCCTTATAATTATGGGTAGGTGGTTAAGATTCGTCTTAATAAGCCCATGACTAAGAATGGCTGGTTAATCAGTCCCTAGTAACAATGTTGGTGAACATTGAGGACTTGAATATTCATAGTAATAGTAGTAATATATACTGGCTATCATTATAGATGATTATCAGTAGACAATAGTTATCATATTAGGACTATTATTAGTAATGACAGTAATCTGACTAAGAACCAAATATGGTTGTTAAGTGTTCAAACTGGTTTCAAAAAAGAGCGTAAGTCCTTGATGTTTGAGAATGGTAAGGTGGGATGCATGAAAAATGTGATGAGAACCCTCATGATCTACAGTAATCCATACTCGTTTGTAATCACATATTCTTTAATCAATGGCCATTTCAGGAACCTAAATTGGAGGTACCTACCATATATAAGGCCTATATAAGGCCTATATGTAATGGAATATCCCCAGAAAATATGGCCTTATATGGTACAGTACATCCATTTTAGGATCCTGAAATTATATACCATTGATTTAATAAACCAAGTCTTGTGGGTCTATAGAAAGGCTAAACTCGGCTAGACTGCAAATGGGACTTGAATGCCTGGTAAACGAGTTGTATATTCCCTGTGACATCCGATGAGCAGCTGAGCGTCTTCTGTACACATTCGCATTTGTTATTTGGGTATTTGGTCAAAATTGTCAACCCGACAATGGATGCTTCAATACATTTCGATACTAAAGATGACAGATTTTTATAGGTCCATTACTGTATCAAAATCGTTGAACCCACATGAACCCACTATATAATCCAATTAAAATGCCATTCTTTCCAAGTACCACTTGGAGACAAACCGATATATAACGAGCTTCAAAACGATGCCGAAAAATGTGCCACCAGGATTGTAATTTGATGATGTTTCCCCTAATGTTTCTCGCATATGTTCCAGGGTCAGCTCTCCAGTTGTGCAGGATGCTCACACGGACCATGAAGAACAATTGGATGAGATACTTAGCTCGCTGAGTTGCGTTGACAACCCAGCAGTGGCTGCGTGAGAAACATGAGAAATATCAAAAAAAAATAAGGTTCTAACGATTTCTATTCCAGTTCTAACCAATCAATGGGATTTAAACAGCCATTTACAGTTTTTTTTTTTTGCGAGGCTTCGTAGCCATGAAACATCCATCCGTGAACTCGGAGGTGAGCCGGGAATCGATGGAAATCCAAAAAGGAAACCGTCCTGAAGTCATTGGTAACTAGTGGTAACTATTGGTACCCTCTGGTAAACTAACATAGCTATTGAAAATGGCCATAGAAATAGTGGATTTTCCCATTAAAAATGGTGATTTTCCATAGTTATGTTAGTTTACCAGAGGGTAGTGGTAACTATTGGTAACTACTGTTGGTAAGTATAAAACCCAACAACGCTATGAAGGTAACTAATTATGAAGGTAACTATGAAAATCTATGAAACTAAATAGTTTCATTGGAGACCATAGTAAGTATGAACATATTTCTATGAAACCATGTAAACTATTATTGGTAACTATTGGTAAGTATTGGTAACTATGAAACAATGTAAACGGATAATATATATATATATATATTGGTACCTTATTCATATCCGTTATTTGGTAAATATTGGTGTAATTATTTGGTAACTCATATTTATTAATGAGATAAACCAATTGTTTTATAGTTAGCAATAATGAAAATAGATACCAATAGTACCAATAAAAGTTACCAATAATAGTTACCAGTAATTGGTTTAATAATACCAGTTAACTATAACCAATCTGCCAACTGGTGCAGGATAAACCATACCATCGTAGGATGGATTCCATGGCGATGAAATCATTAGAGGCCCAGTGTCCAGGCTGGTCATGACTTGTCCTTATCTAAGGAATCAAACTGGTTAATATGGTGGTCTATGGTAAATGATTCCTTAACCAGTTGATCAAATCATTAACCAGTTTGATTATCCACGACTTCATGACATATGGAATCAAAGTGGTTAATGCCGCGACCATTATAAGCTGTGGGGGACTACAGAGAACTTTTTGTCCGCAGGTGGATGGTCATCAAATTCCTAATCCCATATGCTCCATGTATGGTATATTTAGCTACGCAACCGGATAATTTTTGGGGCAAATGGTGGGATTCATATTCCAGCACCATGGGTTGCATATGGGAATAGGGATTTGCATCCCCAGGATGTTTCGATTCCGATTTTTTTCATGATGGATGACCAGGGGCCCCATATGGATCCATATTGACCATGGCATGATCAGTGGCTCATATCCCGCCATCCAGGATTGATTCAGAAGAAGCTAGTGGAATGCTGGAAGTTGAGGCGCTCTGAAGAATGGAACTTAACAGTGGAAATAATAATGGGGAGATATCATGGACATGTCATGGACATATTTGGAACTGGCTTTGGTACCTGAACACCCAAGATGGAAACTCCCTGTTTTCGGCAATTGGATAGCTAGCTGCCCCCTTATTTGACGGCCATGAATATGGGAGGAACCATTTTCAAACGCAAATGGAACGATGGAACAATTCCGAAAGTTCTTAGTATCCAAAGAAGTTTTGATCAGCATATGACTCGATTGGATTCGGTTTCTTGCTCACCCTGCATTTCCTGAAGCAAGCTTTGCTGGCACACCCATCATGCCCATATCCACATGCTTTACGTATTTAAGTTTTGCCATGCATGGGGCACCAGTCAATCAATAAGTCTTCAAGGAGAAAACACAACAACCTCCTTAGGGTCCACTGCGTATGGATCAAGATGTTTGAAGCAGCGATGATCATCACTATGAGTATGAAACCATCCCGTTTTAAGGCGAATGTGGGTAAAGCACTGCCATAAACGCACCATCCCCCAGTCATCACCATAAATAGATAGGTGGTATGTTTTCCATTCCCAGTATTCCCCAGTCATGGCTGGTAAACATGGCATTGTTCTATCTACATTTTCACCGGGCTTTTCCTGACTTATGCACAGGGGATTCCAAGGTGAGTATCATGTTAGAAACATAGCTGGATATTGAAACCATACTATTAATCTATTACTTGCACTACTATTTTAACATATTTTAACCATACCCAATATCCCAATTACCCTGTTTGATGATGGCGTAATTCCTATAGTTGATGATTCAATCAGCATCTATCATGTGGTTAAATCACCATGTGTCACCATTTCTCATGCTGAACAACTCGTCGTCTTGCTAGGTCGTGAAGTTGGGGACCCACGATTTTCCTTTGCTTCGCCCGGATAGGACCGGGCCCCGCACCGGACCCCGCAACGTTTTCGGGAAGGGGGTGGTGGGGGTTGCAGGCCTCACAATATATATATATATAATATAATATAATTTAATATTTAATGATTTTAATGAATATAGTATAATATAATATAATATAATTATAATTCAATGAATATTGTATAATATAGTATAATATAATTTAATATAATATAATTTAATTTAATATAATATAATTTAATTTAGTTTAATATAATATAATATAATTTAATATGATATAATATAATTTAATATAATATAATATAATATACTGTAATTTAATATAATATAATATAATATGATATATATATAGTTTTAATACAGGGTAATTGGGATAATACGGAAGAATTGGGATGGATCAGCAGCACCTAAAAAGAGGCATGGATTCGAGTCGAGGGGGTTAGTTATGATAGTTTTTTTTTTCTGTTTTTTAAAATACTGTTGTGTAATTGAATTGTATTAGTTGCTGTTGGCAACTCAAAATGTCTTAAAAAGTCCTTTAGAGACGAGTAGAGAAGAATGGAGAACGCCAGAGAGGCTCAGGTCCAATGGAGAAACACAGTGATCCAGTGTTGTTTTCAGGTCTCAGGCCCTATCAAGTTCTATCCCGTGCAAGTGCTGTCAAGGGTTGTCCAATGTTGTCAGATCTTTTCCAATGCTTTCAATTGTTCTTCAAAAGATGTCAGGTGTTGTCAAACGTTTTCAAGTGTTGTCAGTCCACCATCAAGTGCTGTCAAGTGTTAACCAGCAAGAATCAGCCAGCCAAGAATGATGGCTACCAAGAGGCCCACGCCAACCATTATGACATCAGAGCAAAATAGAGAAAATACAGGAAAAATAGAGAAACCTAGAGAAACATAGAGAACTATTGAACAAAAAAAATAGGTTGATTTTATAATTGATTTTTGGGTGACAGAGAAGCATAGAGCAACATAGAGCAAAATAGGGAAACATAGAGAAACAATAGAGAAAAATAACGAAAATTAAAGAACAAATAGAGAAACATAGAGATAGCATTCACACCAGAAACCGTTCAGCCACCCACCCCGCAGGAAGGGAATCCTACCCCAAGACTGCTCAGTCAGCAATAGCCACCCACACCTACCAGGAAGCTGTTTCGAAGATGATGAAGCCAACCAAACATGTTCCGGAATCCAACATGCATTATGGTAGATACCTGCTTAAAACAAGTCAGAATTTGATACAACGTTGGAGTTGATATACTTTACAAAAAACCACCATCACTTGGCATATGAATCCACACAACATGGACTTGGTACAATGGCAGAGGCTCAAAGTAAATCCCCAATGTTCTCAGTCCACACTTGTTCCTTTCGAGTCCAACGGGCAGGAATTTGATTTGAAACTGCTAAATGTCTTTCTTGGAATTTCTCTGTTCTTATCTATTCTTCTCTCTTTGTGTCTTAAAGGCTTTCTGAGTCATGTAGAGAATGTAGAGTTGGAGACAGCCAATGCATAAAATACTATCTTGGCTAAAGCCCTACATGCTGAGCTCCCTTTCGCGAATGCTGAATATATATGTATATATACATATGTGGTATTATTGGGATGATCACTATAGAACTTAGGGAAATTACACCCCCTAAATTTGATCATTTTGCTAATCCGATGCTAAACACCCCCATTCGGAATGGTCCCGAAAAATGATGAAAAACCCCTCTTTTTACCATGGTTTCCAAGAGGTGTTTAATATTAGGGGAAAGGATTATAGGGATTATAGGGACAATACTTACCTGGCATATAGCGGATTATAGCTGGCCTAAACTGGGATGTCATGAATTATTCTGAGTTCTCCAAGAAGTGTCTCTCTCGTCGGTTTCTTGCTTTGAATTCCGCACCATGATTTGAAGCTGTAGACTCAGACCCATGTAATAATAGTAGTAATAATGGTAGTAATAATAGTAATGATGAGATATATATATAATGGTGTTGCCCAAAGCTTTGAGTCACTTGGTGTTGCCCAAATCGCCATCGCCAGGAAGGTGGCCGAGAAAGCGGTGCTTTTGCTGACTTTGATGGAAAGCCGCAGCAAGTCCTTGAAGGAAGAGAAAGCGGCCAAGTTTCAGGTGTCTTATGCAGAGATTGGGTGGAGATATTTGGGTTTGTCTGAAAATAGGGTATATTCCCAATTATAGCCATTTAATAGGGATAATGATCATTAACCATTGGGTTTAGGGGTACACTATTTTCAGACACACCCATTTGCATCTTTATACTGATGTCATTGAACATAGCTATGGAACATGGGGTATTTATAGATTGACCGGACCTTACACATAGTGGCTTTCAAATGGCAAACTATGGAACTATCAGAGGGCAAAATAACTGTGCATATATATATATACATGCATGCATATCATTGGTTGTAATTTTGATCATCACCTCTTGCCTGACGTTAGGTGCAAGGGTCTTAAATGGCTCAAGGACAGGTTGGAGCGATAGCGGATATTGCATTGAACATAGGGTCATACCATTGAAATCCATACAGCCAGCACATTGATCTATTAAGCATTCAATTGATATGGGGATATTTCTTCAAACGGGGAATACCCCGGGCACCACAATGACTCCATGAAGCCAATTTGCAAGATTCGCACTTCAACCAGCTAGAGCCAGTCAGGTAACATGGCAAACATAAGACATTGATTCTGGGTTAATTATAGTAACCTCACCGACGTCACTGGAATTGTGGTTAGTAAGGGGCATCATCCCCAAATTCTCTTATTTCAACTTAGTGTTTTAATTTACCCAGATTGATTGAACCAACGAACAAAGGAATCAGTTGAAGCAATTGAAACGGCTAGATGGAACGCTTATCGGGATGGGTCTGCATTGGGACAAACAATGGATGGCTTACTGCTTACTGATACAGACGGCCAACATTTGCTACAGCCCGAGCTCTGGTTAAGAATCCGAAAGCTTGAGGCCCAGGGTCCCTCAAATTCTGTTTTTTAAATGCAGGCAAATTTACACCACAACAGGCCGAGGGTCCCTCAAATTCTTAGGGCATTCTTAGTTTTGTATTGCAGGCATCTGCATAGTTTGGAGCGAGCTTAAACGAGGTAATGAGGTGGAGTTGGCAGATTTGACAAGAGGCATGCGAAAAAATGATTTTGTTAGAGCCTGAAAAGTTGTTTTTTTGCAAAGCCGGGCTTGTCTGAGTTTCATAAGGTTAGTGTGTAAAAAACATTTTTTTTAGAGCCTGAAAAGTTGTTCTTTTTGCAAAGCCGGGCTTGTCTGAGTTTCATAAGGTTAGTGTGTAAAAAACATTTTTTTAAAGCCTGAAAAGTTGTTTTTTGCAAAGCCGGGCTTGTCTGAGTTTCATAGGGTTAGTGTGCAAAAAACATTTTTTTAGAGCCTGAAAAGTTGTTTTTTCGCACAGCCCTTCCTCTCTGTAAACCATGCTAAATCAAGCCCTTTGTAGCCGAAGCAAATAGAGAGAGTCAGAGGCAAAATTCCTTGAAAGCAAGGCTCCTGTAGCGTCATGGATAGCGTGTTGGACCTCAGTCTTGAAGATCGAAGTTTCAATTCCCCGCGCGGTTCTTTTCACCAAGTTTTTGGGTAAACAATGTTCCAGGTCCGAAGCTCCGAAAATGTTTTTTTTTTTTTTTTTCGCACATGCTTGGACTGCGTCCAATCTGCAAAGCCCGGTTTCATCCCATACTGTAAGACCATATAAGAGGTCACGCCTTAAAAAAAATGAACCGCAAAAAGGGAATTTTTCAACCACGTATAAGCAGTAATTTAAGAATTTGGCAATCCTATTCCAGGGTCCCTCAAATTCTTAACGTACTATGTGTTTGGTCTAGCTGAAAATATATAGCCCGCCTTGGACCCCTCAAATTCTTATACAGTGAATTCTTGTACAATACTCAAGCTGTATTTGCCAGAGGCTAATATTTTGAACGTCACCCAGATACAGCTTTTGAACGACGGGATAAGCAACATGACAATTATATATATAATATATAATCCCTTCCCCCTAATACTAAACCCCCAGAATTAATAAACACGACCTCAGGTAGTTTCTATTATTAGGGTGTATTTTTATTAGGGAACCAAAGCGGACCCCAATAATAATTTCAAACCCTTAATTAAAAACATAACGATCTCAACATATATCAAATTTCCTTCTATAACCCAATTAAAATATTGCCAAAAATTGGATTTCGAAGCTTCCCCCAAATATTAAATTAAAAACCATAATATAAAAACAACTGAAACTTTCGGACGGATCCTAATTAAAAAACTAGTTTTTATTATTAGGGGGTGAAACCCACAAATAGTAGCTTTATTTTTATGTTTTTTTCTCAAGGGGATCAATTAAAAGTAAAATTGGCCAACCTGATTTTTTCCAAAATTGGAGACGGACCCTAGTTTTTATTATTCGGGTGGGTTAGTAATAGGGGGAAGGGATTATAGAATATTATAGATATAAACATGTATTGCATGGAGTGCATTAATCGTAGAATTTCCAGGTTTGAATTCTCTTGCTGATCTTGTCCGCATCTACGTGCTGATTTTGCCTCTATCTAGCTGGTGGTATTGTGTTTTCGTATCTCGTTCAGTTCGTGTTTCAAATAGTACTGAATCAGAAGAAAATTTAGGTGTCCGCCCTGTCTTTCCGTTTGTGAATCCCCACTTAGTTGATTGCTATATTAGAAAAATTAGCTGAACCACTCGTGTAATATCCACTCATAGTAACTCATCGTGGAAATCAACCAGTTTGTCTACTAGAATACCACCAGATGTAAACTACTAGATTCTAGGTGTTTCTAATTGTTTTCTTATAGTGTAGATAGCAACAATTTTCTAAATCTGATTCTATAGTTCAGACTGGTGGGTCAAGAATTTATTTAAATTTATAGTTTCAACTGATAACAACGACTCTATAACATCGACCTATTTCCAGGTCTATCTACTTTGAGATTCCAATTTTTGGTGTGTCCAAAACGGGGGCGAAGCAAACACCCTTGCCACTCCTGACACACCAGCAAGACCGTTCTCTGCAGGAAGCTGTATATGTATATATATATAATACATGTTTTTGCACATGCACAAAAAGTGTGTAGATACATTGTATGTTGTATATATGCAAACAAATGCAACATAATATAAATATATATATGTATATATTATATCACATATATAAAAATAATATACCATATTTATATAACATAACCAATATAATATATAACATATAAATAATATAACATATATATATATATATTATATAACGTACCTTTATATATATATCACATATATATTTATATATAACATATAAACATATATAATATAACGTATGTATAATATAAAATATGTCTATAACACACACATATATATATAATGGTTGTATGTTATGTATTTATTATATGGGGGAGTTCCATCAGCAGGCGTACACCAAAATGGGTGTTGTATAATGCCAAGTCCGAAAATTGAATGGATGATTTAGGGATACCACCATTTTAGGAAACATCCATACATATGTAATGTACTACAGTTGTGGCCCTTTGCCAGTTACAAGTCAGTACAGTAATACCATGTATGGAATGATAACCCCATTTGTATCCATTTATAACTGGCTGGTAAAGGGTTTTAACTATACAATACTGTGGATGGACAAACCATCCTGCACCATGCAGGGTAACTATTGAAAATTCCTATGAAACCATGTCAATAATTGGATGGTAGATAAACATAGTAATGAAATAAACACTGATAAACCATCTACCAACTAGTGCAGGATTTCGCAACCATCCAGAGTATGCTTCGATTACATCTACCCTCTGGTCATTTATCATAGCTATGGAAAATGGCCCTTTGGAGTTGATTTAACTATTAACTAGCTTAACCAACTGGATGGGTATTTAAAAAAATCATTTATTTTTTTGCGATTGAAAAATAGGAATGTCTACTAACCAGCTGAGAATTTCACTTTTGCAGGCTATCTAAGATTGGCAATGTTAAAAATGAGTTTTTTTCATAGCTATGATAGCTATGTAACAAATTACCACAGGGTATGTTTCATCCGGCCAGGTTACCGAGCTCCTTGGCACAGATCTGGTCATCTACACCTTTGATCGGAACCTTGGATTTCAACGCGGGAAAGCTGAAGAAAGTCCCAACCAAACTGGTGTTGAATCCTAATGAACTCATATTTTGACCATGAAAAATGAAGGTTTTTGCTGGATTTTAGTCGTGTTCAATTCCGATTTCACCATAAAAAATGAATTAAGGTTTTTATGAGGTTGTGATTAATGTATTTAATGTATTTAATCATGAAACGTGGAGGTTTTTGCTGGTGTTTAACTCTGATTTAACCATGACAATTATGATGATTCCAATGATGTTCAACGTGTTTTTATCCTTGGAAATGATGGATATAAAATGGTGGTATTTAGCCATCTGATTCATGGGGATTCATGGAGGTTTTTGCTGGAGGCTTTTCATGTGGTTTTTCATGTGGTTTAGCCATATAAACCTCTTAAACACGATGAAGATTCACCATGGTTCCCATTGACTTCACCAGCAAACAAAGCGGGATATGACGGTGGATGTCATGGGTATACCATGGGAAAAAACCCTCCGGTAAACATACAAAAAGCTATTAACTATTGGCCATAGTTAAATAGTGGATTTACTCCATAAAAAAATGGTGGATCTTTCCAGTTCGTTACGTAAAAGTTTACCAGAGGGTACCCAATGATTTCTACTGGTCAATAATTGAATCACATCATTAATCCCCAGACATCTGAATCCAGATTGAGGGAATCGTAGATTTTTGAAGAATACTTAGAATGACGAGGAACTAAACATTTATTGGCATTGTGAGTAAATTACAATGCCATATTTTTACCACCCATGACTTCCTGGGAATGGTAAGTTTATATATACCACCACCTATAAACATGGTGATGACTGGGGGATGGTAAACATGGGGTAGTTCCACTGGACCCCTTTGGCGATCCCACGAAGAAAAATGCTGCGTTCCATGGGCATCAAACGTACTACCCTCTGGTAATTTGTTACGTAGCTATTGAAAATGACCATAGACATAGTGGATTTTTCCCATTAAAAATGGTGATTTTCCATAGTTTTTTGTAAACGTTTACCAGAGGGTATATGTCTTCATCATTACACATGTTTGGTAGTTTCTGATGTAAGTTGATATACGTTTTCTTTGTGTTTGCCACCAAAGAATGGAGGCAAAAAACCAGCACAACAAGGGGAACCATGAGAATTTAGATACCGAAGATGTTGATTAGACAGACAAGCACAGGCTGATCAAGAGATTCAAAAAACGGATAGGGACACTCAGTCGGTTGTTGTATAACTGAGGATGTAAAATGGGACGCATTGCCGTGAGAAATTGTAGCTGGAGATTTGCCAACAAACCATGGTACCCTCTGGTAAACGTTTACAGAACTATGGAAAATCACCATGTTTAATGGGAAAATCCACTATTTCTATGGCCATTTTCAATAGCTTTTTGTATGTTTACCGGAGGGTAATATTGCGGATCATACTAGTGCTACTACCATTGGACCATGCCTGATTCATCATTCCCTTGCTGACCTGGATCCCTTCATAGCAGTTCTCGATGGCTATGAGACCAATGAAAAATGACCTCAGAAAAAGCAGCATTTTTAATGACCTGGGTTTATCCGAATAAAAAGGCTAGCCAAGCCAGTCAATCATGAACGGAGCTTTTCACATCACCGTTGATCCCCAGGGCGAGCCCAAAGTTTGCCATAGGGATGGAGGACAAAGCCTGTTGTGCCTTGACATATCATTGGCATGGGGCCCCTGGGGCCCCTAGAAGTAAGGTTATGTAGCCATTGATCACCCCAACTGCACCACGAAGTATGTTGTTCTTTTTGTTGGGTCTAAACAAATCATTAAGGCACGAGGGTGTGTATATATATATACATAATCAGACATGCATGGAAATGGACAAGATTGTCATGTTGGCATCAGTGGGAACGGAATTCAGATCACCTAATCGTTTGAGTGGGACTATCAGATTAATTACACGTAGTTCAAAGTTCAACGGTTTATTTTGTTGGTCAAGACGCCACTTGGTGTGTCACTGATCGATTCCAACATGATCCAACGATGGAGGAGCTCAAGCAACAAATGGCTCTTTCTGAAAAGGGGGTACACCCCCCAAATTGCAATCTGCTGGAGAAAATGATGAACTCGACAAAGAAAAGGTGTAAATTATGAACTGTAGTTGACCATTGGCTACCATGACAAGCCTCTCATGAGAGTTGACTCTGCAAGAAGGAAGATGTTTCATATTTTGTTTTCCATCAAACACAGAAGGGTTTGAAGGCAGATGCTTGGTTTTACCCAGGCAAATTGGGACACACCATGAGGCATCATTTAAAGTGAACTGCCGAAAGCCTGGAACAAAATAGGAGGGTGGCTACCGAGAATGTTTGGACGCCACACTTTCACATTCAAAATTTGCAACGGGGCAGCTGTGACCAATATCAGCACAAACTTTGACTCGCCATTCCCATATGCGAACCATGGCGCTGGAATATGAATCCCAACATTTGCCTTTAAATCTTAAAAATCACCCAGTTAGGTAAATCTACCAGCACCATTTTTCGCATCTGGAATTTGTGGCCAAAAAAGCCGAATCGTTGACATCGATTCCGTCAGGGTATTGGATCGGCAGTGTGAAAAAACATCCGGTGATGAGGTGTTTCGTAAGGTGTTTCGTAAGGCTTGGTGTTTCCAATAACTAAGACAAATGTACAGTTGGATGTTTGTTTCCTGAATCTATGACAATACCTAGTATATATATATTATTATATATACATATAATTAGATATATGTATACACCTCACAGGTCCATTGTTGCATCAAAACATCACAATTTTGTCAGGAGATGGTAAAGATTTTTGGCTGGAACATCCTCCATGGCACACGGAAATTTTAGGCCCTGGAGCTACTCCACTTCGTTGGCAAATATTTGTTGGTTATATAAGTTATTTGATGCTATTTATATCATGTTATATCTAATTCTTTCCCAAAGATATCCCTAATAATATCTCTATCGAAGATAATGAATATAGGCAATAGTATTAATCCAACATATTTCGAAATCTTCTAGGTTATATCATATCCCATTTGTATCCCCTTTATATATATATATCCCTATGAAAAATGTTGGGGTTCAGTTCCCACATCTCAGAACTCAGGTGGAGGTTGCGTCCTTCCCCTCTCAGCGTGTCTTAGACGTTGGATGGCTGTGTAAAGACATCCACGGGGAAACAAACCCAAAGCTGGTTGGGAGAATACACCAAAGGGGTGGTGATATGTGCAAAACACAACAAATATCAACAACAAATATATGAGCATGCCACCGTACACCTTATGTATTGAATATATTGCTTCGAAAAGTGAGATCAAATTGTTGGTTACCTCCTTCCTTTTTGGCATTTCTGGTTGTTCTCGTGTTTGGGGTAGCCATGTTTGTGGAAGGTCATGACTATCTATCAATGTGAGGAAGGCTGAACTGCCCAACGCCACTCTTGTCCGAACTGACAGGATAGTCAGACGTCATACACAAAATTTTCTCTGAAAACTAACAAACCTACTCCAACCCATCATAGGTAAATGATAGTGACAAGGGAGGGGAACTCGGTAATTTCACGTCTTTATCTGCACTTTTTCCTCCCCTACATATGCGGTGTTGGGAGGAACCATGAATTTTTGGGAGGGGGGGTGTTGTGAGCGCCTTTTTTTTGTTGCATTTTTGACATTTAATTTCTGCAAAAGATACTGTTCTCTATTAATTATAAATAATGAAGGAAAAATAGATTTGCAAACAACACTTGTAAATGACTTTGCACAAAGAACACCATTCCTCCATGTATGCAACAACCCTTTGCAAAAGATGTTGCATTCTTTGAAAGATGTGTAGCAGTGTAGCATCACTTCCCAATTTCAGGGAGAACCCTCCTACACATGTACTGAATCATGTCAAAAAACATAGCATTCCTGTAGGAAAATGTAGTATGCTGTTTTGCAAGATTGAATTTATGTTTAAATTGCTGCAGCATGGCTTTGACAAGAGTGCAATTTTTACTATCAAAGGGCCCTTCAAACCTTGCAAAACCTTTGTCAATAAAGTGGCACATTTATTGAAACATGTGTTTTACATTTGAAAGTGCAGATTCTTGTTTGCAAAGTGTGCAGCATTCCTGTAAGAATGTGTAGCAAGAGCCTACTGTAGATTCCATTGATGATGCAAACACCGGTTTAAAAAGATGTGTGTTTTTGCAATATTTCCGTTCAAAGAGTACAGCTATTCTATGGAAGTGTTGTTGTGTTTTGAAAAGGGTGCTATGGGACTTTCAAAGGGTCTTCAAAATGTGCAGTATCTTTGTAAACAAAGTAGAGTATTCCTTGAAAATCTTGAAACGAGGCAAACAACTTTTTGCTGTAAACAAGTGCTACATGCCCCATGCAAAGAGTGTAGTAGCTTAATTATTTGCAATATCTCGTTCAAACTAGTGCAGCATTTGCTTGAACAGAAAGTGTAACATGAGCCTATAGCAAATGCCCATAATGTAGGCAATTCACAAGCTTTAAACACCCAAAGTAATTCATCTGACTTTCAAAGGGTGTTGTGAACACAAAGAACAGTAAAATAACATCCAAAAAATATCCCCAACATGTTTTTTTTGTTAGCGCTCACCATGCATGGGAGCGGTCGAAACCACCAATCACTGGACGGTCACTGGATGTCGGGATGCAGAGAATCAGATGAGTCACCAATAGAATCCCGGTCAGACCCTACCCGGAATACATGGCCAGGAAATCTCATTTCCGGCATTATACTGAATAAATAATTGGAAATATGCTGATAACTAACCATTGGGGTTTAATATGTTTAATCCTATGAAATAACCATGTCTTAGAAAATTACCGGCATATTATGCCTGAACACCATATGAAATAACCCATGTTATCAGAAAGCCTTCCGGTGAGCCACGGGCAACTCATCCCCGAGGATTCTGCAACCAGACCAAGGGAGCTTCCCTTCAGCTCCTGGACCGATAGGTGATGTTTCCCACCGCTGGATCTTCTGTTTTTTTTGTTTTTTAATAGGCGCCAAAGAGGTGTTAATAGTTGTGAATCAGCGTATAACTGTATAACTATGTATAACTATATATATATATAAATATATACATATATAGGTAAACTATGGTCACGGGAGATTTTGCCGGACTTTTAGATTTGCATGAGAAAACTATAACTCAGATATTTTGCTGCACATGCTTCAGAACAATGCCTTTTGTGCTGTGGGTATCAGTGGAGGGCCACTGCAACCCACTTTTTCTTGGGTTGATGACCCTGAGCCCTCGATAGCCAGTCGGCTCACCCCTACGTTCAGCAGTGCCGCTACTTAGCTAAGTTGATGTGCTTCACACTGTCAACTGTTGGGTTTATGGATGTTTATGCTGATTATATCTAATATTATGATATATTATATATATATATTATATATATATATATTATATAAGTATATGTATATAATATATATACATGATAGATATGATATTAGTGTAAGTATAGTTATACAATTGTAAATGGGCTTTCCTTACCAACAAAGATTTCAGGAGCAGATTTGAGTCAGGCTCTCTACAGCAGCTTCTCTTGCGAGAGGCGCGTCAGTGGAGGGACGACTGTTGGATTCGGATGGTTAAAATGGGGGTTTCCCAAGGTGGGGGTACCCTCTGGTTATGTCAAAATAGCTATTGAAAATGGCCATTCATAGTGGATTTTCCCATTAAAAATGGTGATTTTCCATAGTTATGTTAGTTTACCAGAGGGTACCCTAAAATGGATGGTTTGTAATGGACAATCCCATGAAAATGATTTATATAAAATGGACGATTTTGGGGGGTACCTCCATGACTCGGGAAACCACCAAATAGGATAACGTCATCGACACTTTGAAGAATTCCATCGCTGAAGATTCAAGGCATATTTCTTTCCAAACATAATAGGATGGTAAATAAAGATATTTTCAGGATTTCTTTCCAGACAGTAGGATTATAAAAAAAACAAACACACACAACACATATATATGGAAATAGCAAGTTTTTTCAGGAGAGTTGTCGTGTTGACCTCAAAGTTTTTCAATGTTTTTCACATTGTTTGTTTCCATGAAGATGCATCATATGAAAACCAGCGGAATGATGAAAAAATACAGCGTTGATGAAACAAGGGAGTGCCCCAATTTGTCCCCCAACAAGAAAATTCCAACAACTCGATGCGATGAGGACCTCCTTTTACATCATGACCCAAGCGGGTCTTAATCCATATTTGATGAACGACCAAATGAATTGCATGCGGTATTGCTACACATCTTCACATGTGTTTTTTTTTGTGTTTTTTTGTTTTACATCTCTATGTAATTATTTAGTACTTTCATCGGGACTTTTTTAATCTGCATATATGTTCGTTGGTTGGACCATAGCCACTAGCCAATCACTTTCTGAGCTGAACATCAAGGGAATCCAAGCTCCGTCCATGGGTGAATTCGTGCAATTTTGCAGCTTGAAATCAGAATTAAAACATATTGAAACAAATAGGTCTAAATAGGTCCACAAAAACATGATGAAGTTGCCGCAGAATATTGCTTGGATCCACAGATCATCAATCATCATCAATCTCTTGGATAGTAACGAGACGACGGACTTGCTAGCCAGCTGCCCACCAATTCGCCATTTATGTTGGCTAAGACCAGCATGTTTGTCTGAAAGATTTGTTTGTTCGCTACAAAGCCATCCGGGTGTTTCCTAAAACGGATCATCCCAATTTCATCATCCAAGTGATGCCTCTTTTCGGGAGAAAACTGAGTTTTGAGGTGCCAAAATGTTTTGAAAACCATGGACAAAAGCCAACAAAATCAACTAAATCAACTCCAACAGGCTTTCTTTAAAACAGTTTTGTTGGTTTTTGGGACACTGTTTGTTGGTTCCAACAGGGTAACGGCAGGTTTGAAGTCCAACTGCAGCTGCAGTTGCTGCCTTTGCAGCTGCTGCGTGGCCGGCGGAAGCTGCAAATCGGCGAGGTCTCGGGCATCAACACGCCACAGGCGAGTCCTTGCGAGGTCACTTCAGTGACATGTTTGTTTGTTGAGTTTTACCACATAAATCCATGTATATATATATGTACAATAAATCCATATGCCATATATATATATATATGTATATACAATACATATATATATATGTCCATATAGGTAATATATTTATATAAATATAAGTCGATATATAGATGGATACATACATAAACACATACATATATATATATACTATAATTATATTTCCTCCTACTCAACCATAGAATTCACCAAGTTTTTGAAGTCAAAGAATTCGCTCTCTTTAGCGTTGTTTGGGGCCTCACCGGCCGCACCTAGGCATTCTGCAGGATTTTTTTTACAGGGTTATCCTTAAGTAAACTAATACAAAATGGAAGATCCACCAAAGATCATGTCCTAGTGAAACTAAAAAAATGGTCCATTAGTATCACTAGTCCATTAGATCATGTCCATGAATGGATTGCCCCAAGTTTTTGTATGCTTACTGGAGGCTAATGTTGGTGAAACCATCAATTTGATGATTTTCTTTGAGATCAGGTTCAGAGATTTCGCTATTGCGCCGTTTGGGCCCCGTTTGGACCGCAGGAAACGTTTGGGCACATTGTCTTGAAGCTAAAGCTGTGCCTTAGATCAAACTGCCGGTGATTGAGCCAAGCGCAGCTACAGTGGGTAGCCTGTGGTGTCATGATGGCCATGGCAGGCCATTGGGAAATCCCCGAACTTCATCGAGGTTTCCTGCTTTGAAAATCATGTTCAGCCAGATTTTAAATGGATGTGTATTTATAAATCCATATAAAAATCCATAAAACATCATCGTTTTTCCAACCATGTTTGGTTACCGGATCAATTCAATTTTTGTTGGTTTTGGCCTCTGGTTTGGTGTTTTGAATCCTGATCCTCAAGTTTTTAGAGGATCGAAGCTGGACAAATCCTTCAGTTTTTAGAGATTTCTTGGCAGTTGAGACTCAAAAAAAAGACCTAGGTTTTTTCGGGCACCAAATAGTTGGAGAATCCCTGGGACTTCCTAGCCCCATTAAGCCACGAGAGGCAGTGCTTTGCACCAGCGGAGGACATCAACTTTACTTGGTGTATGAATGTTTGTACCTAGTTCAGTAAAAATATAACATGTGTTGCAGGTTAATAGGTTACTTGTACATATTTTAGTTGTACTTCAATTGGTTTTGTATTTCCTGAATTCTACTAGGCTTGTGATGGTGAAGTTAACATGTTTCTCGAGTGACACCTGTTGGCAACAGATAAGAAACAATGTAACACCTCCATTATTTGAGGGATGTATATATATATATATACAATTGCCACGTTTGATGACATATTTGATGGTATATCCCCATGTTATCCCAATCATGACCCCCAATTATATCACATGAAATATTCCATTTTATATAAATCCTTATGGTTGGTTGGTTGGTTGCATCCCATGAATTCACCTTGATTATATAGGTTGCATCCCATGAATTCACCTAAAAATTAATCCCATCACTAAGTATAATCCATTTAATATGAGCCATTATTTTATTTACCATATGAATCCCAAAGAGTGTTTTCGGGGAATCCCTAGGAGGCCTTAAATAGTGTTTTTTCCCGATAGAATTTATAGTTATTTTCCTAGTGTATATCCAATTGTAGGTAAATCCACTTATTTTTTGGTTATTTCCCTATACAATATATCCTATTGACAATATAAATTTATCCACTTATCATGGTCAATCCATATCCCAGCTGAACTTCAGTTATCCCAATTGTTGTGAATGGCTCCCATGAAATCCCTCAATACCCTAAATCTCCATGAAAAAATTCAAAAAAAAAAGTCCCATTACTCAAATCCCCATGAAATCACCATTAAATGTTATTAGTTCATCACTGGTTGATGGTTTAGAACATGATTTTTATGACTTTCCATATATTGGGAATAATCATCCCAACTGACTTTCATATTTTTCAGAGGGGTTGAAATCACCAACCAGATCAGCTTGAGGACTCTGAAGCAAAGCCCAGCCAAGCTTTTCCTGTCACCGCTGTCGGGAGTGCCACGTGAGACGCTGGAAAGCAAAGGCCGGGTGCAATGGGAAGCGGTGTCTCATCCCAGTTAGTGAATTAAACCTACTGTTCATAACTGATTTAAACCTAAAGTTAGGTGATTACTACTTATCCCTAGGTTAATAATTAACTAAAATTAGTAGGTTATAACCCTAGTTCTAAGTGAATTGACCCACTTATCCTATGTATAACCAGGGTTACAACCTACCTCCACGAGTCGTGGGCTGAATCAGCAAGTAGATTCTGGTGGTTTCAAATTTTTCATGGGATAATAATGATTGACCGACAAACATGGTGATATGATCGGGCTAATCTAAGTATACCCTCTGGTAATTTATCAGTTTGCGAACTGGAAAATCACAATTTTCAAAGGGGATTCATCATCGAACTATTTCTGGGCCATGGCTTCCATAGCTATCTATGTCAAACTACCGGACGGTGCCCCAAAATCACATGGTTGTTTTTTTCATGCATTTCCACATGCCCATTCAATGGTATATCAATTTTACAACCATTCAGCCACAATGATTGTCATTCTTGATATTGAGACGTCTTCTATTCTTTACCCTCCAGCAAACTAAAATAGCCATGGGGAATGGACCATTTAGTTCGATGATTAACCCATTAAAATCGTGATTTTCCATAGCTATGTTAACATTCCAGAGGGTAATCCCAGCAAACTGTGGATTGTGCGAAATCCTGCACCAGTTGGTAGATGGTTTATCTGCAATTACACTGTACTGAGATAGTAATCTACCAACTGTGGATGTAATCCAACCATACATACAATAGTAATTATTATACAAGGTTGTGCCCCCCCATTTATAAGTTGGTTTATAGCCATAGTAAGTATAGATATATCTACCATAAATCATAGTTATTGGAGTTATAAACCAACTTAGCTAACTATGGGGCACCACCTTGTACCAACTGTGGATGTAATCCCATCATACATAACATAGTAATATCCTGTTATATCCCAATATGCTTGGCTTTGTCATTTGTTATACTTTAATTATCCCACTATTACCCTATATCAATTCACACTCTCCTATACTATGCAAAAGACCAGTTTTCTCCGGCAGAGGCTTCCCTCATAGAAGCAAATTTCCCCTGTGACTGAAATGATTGTTGGGTATATGGCAGATATATCTAAAACATATGAATCTATGATCATCTATATGCCTACCATACACATAATTGGTTATATAATGTTATAGATATATCAACCCCCCTTATATATCCTTATATACATATATACAGACATATACATACAGGGTTCGTATTGAGCTTCACATCACTATTTGTTGGTGCATATATATATATATATACACACGTTATACATACATTGTATTCACTATATGTGTAGGGTTTAGAACTGCAGAGTTAATTTGAGAAGCTTCATGAACTACAATTGGGTTCATCAACTATACATTAACTCTATATATATATATATATGTGATAAGATATATAAATGTTTATTAACTATGTACATGTACAATGAATGATATTTAATAAGTTATATATATATATATGTATTCACTATGTACATAAATAGTGTATTATATTAACAATGTATTATACATACATATATATATATCATACATATGTATATATATATATATATCATATATATATATATATCGCATATATATATATATATCATGTTTATATATATATATATGTATGCATGCTATATATATAATATATATGTATGCATGCTATATATATATACATATAGATGTCAAGTATCCATTGCAGATAAACGATATAAAACCCAGCCATCAGAGGTCACGTCAGCGATCCCTTCAGCGTCATCAAGGCCTGCGGCCTGTCGGTGGCGCGTCTGCAGACTGCGCTGAGGATGGACCCGTTGAAGGCGCGCGGCATCCGTGGGTGGCCCGGAAAGATTTTTCTCGCGAAATCGACATAAGGAACGTGCTTGGAACGTGCTTTGAACATGGGATTTTGGGTGATTTTTTGAAAATGAGATTTTTAGGGACAATGATGTTGTTGCATAGTTTGTTTTGCGGATTTTAGAGGGATCTAATGGGATTTCATTGGGATTTGAGAGGAGTAACCCATGTTTGATGTTTTTTTTGTTGTGAATATTTGATTATGGCAACAGGAAATCTCCGAACTAATGGAGGATGTAATGAGAAGTCAACTACAAATGGTGGAATTTCCAGCAAAACATGTTTGATTATCAAAGGGTAGGTGATAAGTTTGATAGTTAGTATAGAGTATAGAATTACTGCAGATGTATTGGTTCATGATTTTGATATAGAACATATGTTTAATATAATGATAGTATTAGGGTGTCAACTTTGATATGTGTTCAAATGAAGCCGTCAACTTTACAATATACTACAAACATGTTAAAATGTGAAAAAATACAGAAGTGTACACGATATGCTAGTGATATACGTACACTATACTGGTTTGTCATATTATATAGCTAATGTTTTATCATAGGTAGTTTGACTATGTTTGATGATGTATACCGGATGTCTATAATATTCTATGCTACCCAGCTAGAACATGTGTTGTTGCAAGATATCTAAGACTGGTCATGGACATAGGAAGTCTGGAAGATAGTACAGTGAGGATGGGTCAAAATATGTCAAAATCCATGATTTCCAAAATTTGGGGAACAGATCTCCATACAACCAAGTCATTATCTCATGTGAATCCGTCAACGGACCATGTATGGAATTGTTATTGAAAGATATTGTCAATAGGTATACACGGGATGTGTATCACTGTATGGGTCAATTTATAAGATGTGAGGGATGAACCTGGATCTTTGTGACAACAATTAGCGGCTTCCAGTGTTTTGATCGCCACCTGAGGATGATCTGGATGATCACCATGAATTTTCACTTGTAAAATTGCTGAGTTTCAGGCCCATTGGCTTGAGTCTGGCCCTTGGTTATTTGTTTCAGGAATCCCCTCATGATTTGTCACCTTTTCGCACGAGCGTCGCCAGGCAGCGCTGCATGAGATGCGGGAGAATTGGCTTCTGGCGATTTGGCCTGGGCCCTGGAATCACTGACCGACAGCAGTTGCAAAAAACGAGAAGTGGAAACTTATGCCTCCATGATGCCTATGAAAAATGATGCCTCCAAATGTTCACAACAGAACTCACACCTATTTCTGTTGAATATTGAGTCATGACATTACACACAAAACTGGTGCCTTCGGGTTTTGTCACGATCCAAAAGTCTCAGACCCTCACGAGTTGTGAAAAAAACTGCGGTATACCCCCAAGTGGCAATTTTATACAGGAAAATTTATGATCAACCATCAACTTTTTGGGCACCCTATTTCAATTTCAGACAAGCCCAGGTATTTTGTTGATGCTGTTCAATTCAATTCAAGGTCTAGAAGTTGTTGTTGTCTACCATTTCCACCAGCGAAAACAAGCCATTTATCAAAGTGCCGGTCTGCCAACACCAAGCAGAACCTGCGCTCAGTCAATTTGTCCATGAAACAAATCCATGAGAACTGAGAAATCCACTGGAAATATGTTGATTTTCAGAATGTCAAAACCCAGGATTAGTAAATGTTAATAAACTCCTAGGCTGTTTAATTTGGGTTGGTACCATGTAAGGATTTTTTGTTATTTTTATTTGCGGAGTACCCCTTTTACATAAACCATGGCTTGTTACAAAATTTTCTATGGCCTGCTAGGTTGCAAATCCAAGCAGAACCGTTTGCAGCAGCTTAGGTGGAGTGCCTTGATGTTGATGGCACCTTTATGGACTGGAAACGTTTCGTCGTTGATGTCGAGCGGGTAGGATTGGGAGCATTTGGTACCAACTTATTGGTACACCATACCTACCATATATATGTATATATAAATATAGCCTATCTTCTAGGGCTATGTCAAGGAACATCATCCACAAATAATTCACATCTATTTATTTGTACACGAATTCACCTTACCTATTTATGGGTCTGTTGGAATTTTTAATCAAACAAAATAGGCAAGTCCACCATGATGATGGAATCAACACGTTTGAGAGTATCAAAAGTATCAGCATGCAACAAATGAATGACGTGCGTAATACATATCACATGTAAAATACACATCCTATACATATTAATGTGTATATATATATACATATCAATGTAAAATTGGAATATTTACATTATGCATATCCCTTAAGATACGTATATTCTTGCATAGAAAAACACATCAAACATACGCTGGATTTTTTTTCAGGCACACATGGCGGTGTCACAAAGGGCTGATGGTTTAAAAGAACGAGAATCATCCCCAAATGGCCGAACTGTTCTTGTTAATGAATTTTGGTGAGCTCATTCGTATGTATATATATATACTGTATGAATATATATATATATACACACACTGTATGAAAAAAAAATACACACACCTATATTATTTACCCTTTTTGACCCCCGTATACCCTTCATCTGTAGACCCATACCCATTGGAGGGAGGGGGACGGACCGGGGGCTGTCATATATACGGTGCCTTTCCAAAACCTACCCTTCCGAAAAACTTACCAATATCTGCAGTATGTTTGAACATGTTTCGAAATTATCAGTCTTGCACTATTTTTGGAAGAAATATTTCAATTGAATCAGGGATGGTGCCAGTATAGATACATATGGCTACCATGTATATGATATAGAATCATAGAATATACCTGGAGGTGTCCTAAAAATGGTGGTACCCCAAGTCATCCAAAATTGGACCATTTTAGCATTGAAACCCATGGTGACGTGGGGATCCATCGTTTTAAGAACCCCCCACATGTAAATTTTCTGTAATAGCTTAAACCACTCTCCAGACATGGGCTTTGCAGTCTTGTTTTTTGTTTGTTTTAGATGGTTTGCTCGCTGTTTTGGCCACTTGTCCATCCCCATCCCCAAGACCCCTGGTGCTTTGGATGTTTTTGACAAGCTACATCTCTGCCAAGACTTTTGGAACAGTGGTTGTCTTTTGTTTTTTTTCAAGCAAAAATCTTTGGCAGTCTGCATTCAAATATGCATGCCTGCTCTTTGTGCTTCAGTTGCTTTGCTACCCCTGAAATGCGATCATATTTCCAAGGGTGGAGCTGCCAGCTCCTTCACCAAAGATATGACAGCACATCATGCACACTAAGCTCAACACATCATGTCCTTTTGCTTCTTCAAAATGTTAAAGATAGAGGTATTGGGAGGGGGTGTTAGCATATATACCGATCCTCTATATTCTGATAACCCTGGTACCCACCGTTGATCAGTCATTATATACATATATATATATTTATAGTCACTGTAAATCATAATGGTTTGCATTTTCTTGAGCCTGGTGGAAGAACCGAAAAAACAAAAAAACAAAAACATTCGATTGAGAAACATGGTCCCGGTAACGATGCATGGGGGTTTGGTGTATTTGGAGAACAGGCACGTTGGCCGGAAGGACATTTGGACGCACTCGAAGTATAACTATGGTTTATGGTACAATGTGGGGCCCCCTAAGCCCCCTAGTTATAATTTGGGTTATAACCCCATCTAACTATAGTTATAACAACCATAAACCCTAGTTATTGTAGATATTGGCACCAAGTGGCCATGTCAGGACCTGGCCCTTCATCTTCAACATCTTCCTTGCCACTTTCGCGTGGCGCCTGGGTGTAGGTGGAAAACTTGGAACATCTCCAAAAATCGACCGATGTTTTCCTCCAAATATCACCAACGATATCCAAAATTGGTAAACATATCTGGAACTATGGTGTAAATCACCTTTTTTTGTGGTTGCATCGAGGGTCTAGTTAAGGGTACATCATGATAAATCCATAGATACATAGAGGTAAATCCAGACTTGAAACATCTTGAAAGCCTGGATTTTATATGTTTGTTATCCACAAAAAGCTGAGGGTTCCTTGTTCAATGTTCCCTTGAACCTACTGAATAAACCCAAGAACCCGGGAGGGATTTTCCGATTGAAAAGCATGTTTCGATTGAATCAGTGGAGATTCTTTAAGAAGAAGCGGGGGTCCAACTGTCCAACATTTGCTTTGAATAACAAAGATGGGTGACCCATGACCAGTGGTAAGAGGTTTTGGGTTTTGTGTTTTGTTCCTGCGCACCCCTGCAGGGCATTCTGCGGCAAACCCCTGTTGAATGATGGTTATTTAGATAAGGTGATACTACCTGGATCCATGGTGATTTTAATAATCTAGTACTTGGGAATAGTTGCGTCATGTCATGGATATGTTTCAAATTGGGGAACTAGAAATTGCATAAACAGATGGATATATGATATATATATATATACATATTTAGGTAGACAATTATGATGTGTGTTCGTCCAAGAACGGGGTATCCCCTAACATTGGCAGTTTTATTGAGGAAATAATGGTAAACCATGGAAACATGTTTTTTGTTTTCGAACAAAAAATCAGGCCAACCCACATATAAAAACGTGTATGGCCATTGAATTCTGTAACCAGTAGGTTTGTTTTTGTTTTCCCACTTCCACGCTACTCTACGCTGCTACGTCCCTTTTTTGAGGACGTTGAATCGCTGCCAGCGGAGATGTTGCGTGAGGCATTTATACGCCGACGAAGGCCAATGATGGGCTGCACAGGGATTGAAATTGGTGATGTAAAATGGTGATTTGGCGTCTTGAAAAAAGGTGAAAAAAGGTGAATTTCCATAGCTATATGTTAGTTTTGGCTAGTTTTTCTGTGGTTTGTTTTAGGATATTTGAGTTTTAAGTACAATTAGTTCAACCCTGGAGATTACCATTTTGATAGCAGATGATGATTCAAGTGGCGTTTCACCAATCGTAAACTGGTGAAATCTGCGCAACAAAAATGTTTTTTTGGTCTACAGTTCATTTGCACAAGGTGGTGCCCCCCCAGTTGTGTGAATGTTGGTTTATAACTTATAATCATAGTAAGTATAGATATATCTACCATAAACCATAGTTATTGGAGTTCTTGGCACCAACTGAACGCGATTTAGCTCACTGGGGCACCACCGCACCACCGACCGCATGATTTGCCATGACAGAATCAGCCGATTTCAAATCTGATTCATATGGATCTACCGGAACGATGGATAGAAATGCGGTCATTTCATGGGAGGCTGTTGACACTGCGATCAATTATGTGAGCTTGCTATATATATATATGTATATATATAATCATATATATATATGGGAAATTCTGAAAATTGTGCATCATTGTGCATCCCCGTTAAACCAATATGGTGTTTTCCCATTTACGCCATTGCTGGGATGATCCAATGGGATCCCTCCAGGTGAGGAGAAAAAGGAGGCCGGGTCGAGCTGGCGACTGGATCACCGGGAAAATCAACGAGCGATCTGAGATCTCTTCGGCCATATCGGCCATGCTGGTTGTCTTCATGCTTTAATAATGGGATAATCTATATCAATAATGGTTAATAGTGGTTACTAGTGGTTAATAGTGGTTAATAGATGATAATAGTGATTAGTAGTGATTAATAGTGGTTACTAGTGGTTAATAGTGGTTAATAGATGATAATAGTGATTAGTAGTGATTAATAGTGGTTACTAGTGGTTAATAGTGGTTAATAGATGATAATAGTGATTAGTAGTGATTAGTAATGATTAATAGTGGTTACTAGTGGTTAATAGTGGTTAATAATCGTAGATTTCATGATCATAAATGATTAATATATATATATACTGGTTGCTGGTGACTGGAACCATGGAATTTGGATTGACTTTCCCATGATATTGGGAATGGAATCATCATCCCAATTGTTACTCACTCCATCATTTTTCAGAGGGGTAGCTATACCATGCTATACCAGCAACCGTTGTATGGATATTGGATGATTTTACCAGCTGAAAAGCTCCATCTTGCCACGCCGCGCTAGCGAAGCTAGCGCAGCGCGGCTCGCGGGGGCCAGGACGCAGATGTTGTGAAGGAAGCAGTGAAAGCCTCGCTACACATCATGCAATTCACGGAGACCTGCCATGGAAATTGGTGTCTGATGGGATTTCAGTGCCTCCAGTTGATGGCATGGATGGCTGGGAAACATGGGAGAATGATGAACAGCAAAAACTGGTTGGTGGTTTCAAACATTTGGATTATATGGGATGTCATCCTTCCCATTGACGAACTCATATTTTTCCGGATGGTAGGTCAACCACCAACCAGATGCTTATTTTCAGACAAATCCATTGAAGTTGCGAGCCTTAAGGGCACCATGGGGCACCCTTGAACCTTGTTGAGACGTCGTCCCAGTGAGCCTATGTTCAGCAAAGGGTGGAGGGCTGAGTACAAAACATTCCACCATAAAGGTCTCATTTGACGAAGAATTTTAGTGTAAGAAGCGTTTCTTACCCTTGGGTAATCGAATATGGCAATTGAATTTCCGATATATGAAATGTGGGATTTTCCAGCCATGTTTGATGACAGGGGCATTTTCAGCATCCAGTGACCACCGACAACCACTACTTTTATGGTCAGCTCTGGGTTTTCGGTGATGGAAGAACCGGTTCTGTTGGATTTATGTTAGTGAAACAACTATAGGTAATGGCTGTGAATGTGGAGGAGTATATCTTGTGACCAACTATAATTTGCTTTGATGGGGTTTATAACTATCTCAACTAGGGCTTGTGGTGATTGTAACATGAGTTGATGGAGTTAAAAACCAACAAACACAGTGGAAGGGCAACACCTTGCAGTATTGTGAGGTGCATTTCTACTTTACATGTACCTGGTAAATCATATTAGCTAATTCCTAGTTGGTGCCCACCCATAGATGATTTATATACATATATAGCTGATCAGAACCACCATTTGTGATTTTATGTGGTACAGAAACGTTGTTAATAATAATGATTACACATGATTATCTGAGTTATACCGCTTTTACATTGTTCCCCCTTTCTATAGTGTTGTTGTTGTTGTTGTTGTTGTTGTTGTTTTTCTTAATTTATATAGTTATCCTGGTATCCTATATTACTACCATAAATATACACACATCGAGAGATATAGATACCTGCAAGTACCTTCCTGTACGCATCCCTATGCAAATAACATCAAATAACTAATTCCATAATATTGTACACAGTATACTATACACATCCACATCTCGGAGCTACATGATCCCTATGTTTCAAGCCTTTGTTGCGAGGAGAACTTGAACAAAGCAGCTGCACAAATCGACACTTGGAGTCCTTGGAGGAGCTCAGGGCGTCAGCTGGCTGGGTGATGGATAAATTGGATAAACCATGATCATGATCTGGGTATAATAATGATATGGTATATAATAATGATTCAATTTTCATCATTATGACATGATCATGGAGAATCATGGATATACCAAGTTATCCAAGTTGAAAAATATTGTTTTCGGTGTTTCCTGTTTAGTTACTTGTGTTTTATACGGTGGTTTTTTAGTAGTGTGTGTAATGAAGTTGTTTATGGTATTGTTTGATTGATTTCAGGGATCACATATTATGTAGAGCCACATGTGTTCGATCATTTGCCAGACCTTTCTGTATTGAACTTTCTCTATGGATCAGGAGTTGTGTCCTTTTCCATGAGTCAACTGATATTTGCCATCTGAAAATGCTGCCCCAACCGAGGTTGAAGAACAATCGCACGGTGAGGTCCCGTTGTGAAATGATGAAAGCGTTGGTTTTTTAGTATGGTTTCTCCATGAAAATGAGTTGGTTCCACCATGGAATTCAGCAGAAGTCAACTCAACTTATGCATCCTGGGCACCTCTCCTGCGTTGGCTGAGGAAAAATTCACTTTCGCCTTGGGCCTGGAAGATCGATGTTTGTCGCATGGCGGCGAAGCCGTCTGAAGATTTCGAGAAAACGGTTCCATCCATTGGTGAATTATCCAACTGTTCATAAGGAAAACAACATAAAGCTGCCATTTGGGGTATACCCCGTGGACTAACCAGGTAATCTAAGAGTGATCACCTCTGGAAGTGTCATGGGATTTGATGGTCATAAATGGGGATTTGATCAAAACACATAGGGTTCTTCGATAGGAATGCAATGGGGAGAATCCAAACATATTTGGCATGGAAAATGGCCATGTAAATCAAGAGAAGTCATCTACATGTGATTATATACTGGTTGGTGGTTTGGAACATGAATTTTATTTGTCCATATATTGGGAATGTCATCATCCCAACTGACTTTCATATTTTTCAGAGGGGTAGGTCAACCACCAACCAGTATACATATGGGGTAATTTTCCACAGCTATGTTACATTAGCCAATGTGGGCCACGTGTTCACCAATGAGGGAGGGGTACAAGAACTTAAGTGGAATAGACCATGGATAAATAGTTGAATTCGTCAGCTTCAAAGCATGTTTTTGCCGGGATACAGTTGAAGATATTTAAGATAGCCTCCAGGAATCAAGCTTTGAATGGGAGAAATCCTCTATAAACGGAGGTTCGATTGTTGTTAAAATCATTAAAGGGGTGGATTTTCCATGTCCACCTTTGATTACCGGAGGGTACTGGACTGTCATGTCAGTCCCTCATTTTGTGTGCGTTTCTGTCTTTCGATATCCGAGTCTTTTAGGTTAAAGATCATCTAATTATTATATACCTTACTGCAAATCTCCGTTTGTGTTGCTGAATTCCCTAGCTTCAGACTTGAGGGGGGAAATTCTCAACGTTTGCCATATTAAGATATTGATATCTGAAGTTTCTTGGTTGAGATCCTTCATGATCCTTCCAGAATTTGGCGAAAAAGCGAAAATCTGCGCGAAAACCGTATATTTGAGTAAGAACCATGGATTATCCCTATAGATTAGCCCTTAAATATTATTATGGTTTCCCCAGTTTCCCCTAGATATTATCCCTTAAAACCAATCCATTGAGATCGCTCTCAGGTCCAGCATTTTCCTGATGCTTCTCGACAGCGCTGGTAGGACCTGGGAACCAATCAGTTCCCTATCACTAGATGGGAAATTTTCCAGGAGACAGCCATTTCTTGCCATATTTGATGTTAGGAACAATAGTTTTCGGTATCGGTTCCGTTGATAAGATGTGGGTCCTGCAAAAGATGTGCAAAGTTCTGCAAACCACAGCAAAAATATGTTTTTTTTGAATCTTATTGCCTACGCGTATTCAAGCCGGCAGTTGGGTTTATAGATAAGAGTTGAGAGTCGCTACTGCGAGATTGAATGGGGATTACTCTATGGATCATCATCTGGTTGGTGGTCTGGAACACTTTTTATTTTCCATTTCATATATGGGATGTCATCCTTCCCATTGACGAACTCCATCATTTTTCAAGATGGTTTTTTAACCACCAACCAGGTTATTATTAACCATCCATTAATATTATATAACCATATATAACCATTTTCAGTGGTGATTTACCCTTTGGTAATCAAACTTGGCTAGCTGGGACATCCAAAAAATAAATGGAGGCTTCAAGCTGGGAAAATCAGAGCCCCTTTCGGGGCGAAATTGTCTTTGGTTGGTGGTGTCAAATAGCCTCTGGTGATTCTCAACATGGATTTGATATAATGGGATATAGTGGGATGATAGCGATTAACCAACAAAGATGCTGATATAATGGGGATAGTCAGAACATATGGTATTTTGTGACGGTTTGCGAACTGAAAAATCACCATTTTGAATAGGCCAAAAATCATCGAACGATATGGGCCATGGCTTCCTCCGCATCCTTTTTGAGATGATCAAGCCCGATCAAGTCCGTGGCCAACGAAGCTACTGATGTTTGGAGAGGATATGCAGTCTGAACAACTGCACGTACCTGCAAAGCATTTTATTTCACTGGAAATGGCATGCGGCTAAGCCGAGAACCGCCCCGCTGAAATTTGTTTGCACATCTACCTTGGATCAATAATCCTGTTTAATTGCACGTTTTGGGATTCAGCTCCTGACGGATCACTCCAATGATCCAGTTCTTTTCTATAGCGTGTGTGTCCCAAAAAGTGTGTTTGCGTGTGTTCCTTTTGAGAATTGAATGGGTCATTTTTTGGGGACACACACATTTCTCTATAGAAAACAGCAAAATGTGTTTCCAAACTCCGAGTTCCCCAAAATGGGGAAGCCGACGTGCTCCCAGACCATCCGACAAGTTGATGACCGAAGCCTGTTCTCCCGACCTGGAAATATGGTTTATTTTTGGGGGAATCATCCCCAAATGGCCGCAAGTTTCATATTAGTGAATTATTCTACTTGTAATTTGCCCAGATCCTTACTTATGATCCCGGATGATTTGTTCCTGCCTCCCCTGCCCTGGACATAGGTTGTGCTTTACATTTGCAGTGCCAATGTCCTTTGTGACCATCATCTTCCAATGGATCTTCACCACCGGGCTATGGAGGTGGGGAAGGTCATTTTTGGGGGACTGTTGGCTCAGCCTCACCACAATTTTACTGTAGCTTGCACAGATGAAAACCTCTTGAACTTAAACATTCCACGCTCCTTTTGTTTGAGTCGGGCGCGTGAGATAGAATGTCATTCGCATTCATTTGCCGTGTTTGCGCGCATGTCATATTGTATTCTCAATCATGTCGAAGCATCTTGCTTTCCGGCCTGGAATTCAGTCAGAAATTGCATTTATATGATGTGAACCGCACATGAATAGACGGTTGGTTTGCTTTATTGGTGGTGCCATTTTATGTTGTAGCAATTATCATTTCGTTGGACTAATCACTATTGATCATCAACCATAGTTTATTGATCCAAGGCTGACTTGAGTAAACATTGTCAGGTGGTTTTAGATGCTTTCAAATGTTTGAGATGCTTGAATAGAAGATCCAAGATGAACTGATTATTTTCCCTTCATGTACCATTGATGATTTCAATTTTTTATATACTTCTTATTGTCCATCCCTAAATCATGAGATAATACACCCTATTGACTGTCATAATTTTGGGGCCCCAAAAATCCTTGAGTTTGACCACTAGGAAAATCTACATGACCTCCTATATTTACTGGTAAAATCTATGGTTTTCTGTAGATGTTTCCCTTCCAAACCATTGACAAAACAGAAAATGAAAGAAACCAGGATCAGATTTGCTCCAACCTATTACAGGTAAATGAACAACTGCCACTTTTGGCTGGAAAAATTGATTCTTGTGTGCCATATTTTGCATCTAAACATTACCAGGGAGCCACTGGATTTTGTTGTTTGATAGATATTTTGTTTTAACCAACTTGGCTATCATAAATGAACTATATCAACTATAAATTCATTTTTCTTGGTTACATCAAATTACCATTTTCTTTCAGTTTTCCGGGGATCTCTATGAAACAGCAGCATTTCAAGTGTGGATAGTTCAGCTCCGTGGAGGTATTTGCTGTGGCTTCCTGGTTCTTTCGTGGTTCTGCCCGAGGCGCCGGAAATTCAATTTTTTGGGTTGGGAATGAACCATCAAGGCCAAGGTCAGGCCTCTGTGTTTTGTTCCTTTGCCTTAGAGACGCTATAGTTATCCCCCTAAACCATGGAATTCACCATGTGAAATTTAAGCGTCAACTTAGCTGTCGTTGCCCGACCTTGCAGCCAAGTTGATGCTTAGTTTTTCTGGGACAACTAGACTTCATGGCTGTCAATGTGGATGATTAGATAACCGACTATAAACCAACTATAGTGGGGTAGTAAGTAACTATTTCAACTGGGGTAACTAGCCATAGACCTTGTGCAGACTCATCACAAAAAAAGGGCTTGGTATGCCCTGGATCAACACATGTTCTTCGATGCCGCTCGACAGTTGGTTCTAGGTTTCGTGGATTGTTATCCTTTTTCGGCTCATTTGTAAATTATATCTATGTTATCTGGTTGATGGTTTGGAACATGTTTTTATTTTCCATCATATATGGGATAATCCTTCCCATTGACTTTCATATTTTTCAAGATGGATAAAGCCACCAACCAGTTATTAATGTGTTTCTAAATTGTGAATTTACAAATGCATTTGACCCTACCTCGCCGGAATCAGTAGTTTACGGTGATTGTGACATGAGTTTATGGGGTTTGAAAACCAACAAACGTTTCACTGAGTTGTGCAAGGTTGTTCCCCCGAGTCATAGTTGTTGCTTCAATTATAAGCCCATATAAACCCAATTGGGGGTTTCCACAAATGGGGATACCCCAAAATGGATGGTTTATAATGGAAAACCCTATTGAAATGGATGATATAGGATGATATAGGGATACCCCCATTTTTGCAAGCCTCCAACTGGCTGTAGTTATATCTACCATAAACGCAAGCACCGCCTTATGGGTAAGCAATAGGGCGCTTGAGGCGTAGGATTTGGAAAAGCCTACGCCTCAGTCTTACACAACGTCAATAATTATGTAGACAATCACCACTGCTATCTAAATCCTGGTATTTACACTGAATTTGTAAATTTAAGCCTAGATTGTCCTATCTTCTGTAGACAATCACCACGATCTAGAATCTAGATTGTAGAGTTCTTAACGTCTGAGTTTGTCCACTTGAAGTGGATAAGTTCCCCCTCTAAATTCTGTATCAAGTATATATTGAGTTATGAAGTTATTCCCGTTTCTATCTTGTAGTTTTATTCTGATTCAAGTTGAGTTGATGATTTTGCTGTGAGTTTTCACCACCTTCACAGGGGGTCCCGGATCCCGGTCGAGGGATCCCAAGGGGCCTAAAAAGTGGCGCCAGGCCGTTCGGGAGGTGTTGCATCAGGGATTGAAACACTTGGAGGAGATGAAGCAAGAGATGTGTGGCGATGACTTTGAGAGGACGGATGAGATGACTTCACAGTACAGATACCATAGATAGCTATGGGAAAATGCTGGATTCTCTGAGGTTTTTGATGTTTGATCCTTTTTTGGGGATGATATATTTTTGCTAACAAAAAGGGAGTTATACCAGTTCTGGGATGATGAACTAACCCCTGGAATCATCCGCCTACATTGGCACAGATCTACAAGATTTGAAGTGTGTGGTATAGGGCATCCTTTGATCAAGAACCGGTACAACATGTTGAAGTCACAACGGATTTCCACAACGGCTTTCAATATTTGCGTTTGCCAGTCTGTCCTGAGGGATCCTCATATCAAATGTAGATGAACGGATGTTTTCCAAACTAGCTAGAGCAGCTGAATCTACTGCAAGTTCATGCTGAATCTTCAGCGATTAAAGCTTCTGCATGTTTCATCACTGCCTACCATGCTGAACTTATATGACCGCTCAAGGATGAGTTTATATAATGCGATCTTGAGCACGCTGGAAAAATGCTTACCCTTCGGTTATCAAACATGGCCGGAAAATCTCGGGAACTGCTAAATGGAGGCTTCAGGAAGTGAAAATAAACTATAAATGGTGGATTTTCTGGCAAGCCATATTTGATTACCGAAGGATACTCAGAGTTTGAGAACGTCTGGAAGTCATCTGTTTTTTTTTAGATGACTTGAACTTGCAGGGATTCAATTGGTGTGATTACACTAGAGATACCCTCTGGTTATTTAACATAGCCATGGAAAATGGCCCATTTATAGATGGTTTACCTATTAAAAATGGTGATTTTCCATGGCTATGTTAAATAACCAGATGGTACAAGGAGGCAGAGTTATACTACCGGGGCTTTGGGATTTCATGACCCAAAGTCATAGGAGGAATATTGTTCTGAACCAACGTTTGATAGGGAGATGGGATAGGGATATTTTTGATGGCTCATGTGTTTTCCCTTCAACTACCACGTTTGCTGTTTCTAAAACCTTTCCACATCATGCATCCTTAGATGTGGGAAAGGCAAAAGCATCTGTGTAAAGCATCCGACTGCTCAACAATCTGTCTGCGCAACGTCCAAAACTGATCTGATCTATTGAGATACGCTACACGAGCAGCACGGTCAACCTGGCCAACGTGAACCAAGCACCAGGTCTCACCAGGTATCCAAGGCCCAACGAGCCTGGCAGCCTGTCTGATGAGAAGCAACATCATTGGTTCGAAACTTTGCGGTTTCGTGTCCAGAAACCAGGCCGACAGTGCCCATGCATGAGTCACTGAGTCTGAGACAAGCCGTAAGTAAGTTTGTGAAATACAGTCAGCATACCCTGGCTGTTGCGCCAGCTACAAACACTTGTGTCAGATCGGAAACACAGTGGAAACAGGAGAACGATCAGGAGCATAGAGACCATTGCACAACCAAACCCCAAACGTTCAGCCGGGTCAGCCTGCCCCGCTGGAAGGGAGTTTGGGCCCATGCTGTTAACAAAACATCATTCAAATGATATTCTCCCTGTTTGAAGGATGTTCTTTGACTGATACGTTTCTGTGCATACAATCTGAGATGTATGTATATATACATATATATATTTATATATATCAGTTCATTTGATGTAAAAAAAAATGCCAAGCTGAAATGACCCAATTTGCCATAATATTTTTAGCATATTAATGGCTTCCATTAATAGCCATGGGTTCCAGGGTGAAATGAACCACTTCGCCTTTTTAAGCATGTTTGGATATGTTTGGTTGGTCAAGTCATGTCAAGTCATTAAATCCAGAACTTGTTTTTCTACATGGAACAGTCCCCAGTTAAAAACAATTTGCCTAGTTCTACATGGTTGTACATGGGGTTATCATTCTATAAATGAGGTGATTTTAGTGACACAAGTGTTTTTTTCGGGCCATAACTGTATGGTCATACCTCCATTTTGGGTTGAGTCATGTTAAGTCCGTTAAGTCACCAAAACAGCACATTCATTGTAATAGTTTTTTTTGATATGATATATGTTTAACCAGTTTCGCAAGTAACATCCCCATTTGCCATGTGCGCCACTTCAGGAGATTGCAGGGATTCTGGCAGCGGGTGCCGGATGACGCTGAGGCGCATAGCAATTTCACCATTCCTGGGGTCTGCGGTTTCAAATATCTAACAAAAATGGGTGACATACCCTCTGGTTATTAAACATAGCTATGGAAAACCACTTGTTGAAAAAACGGTAAATCATCATCCCAAACATCTATCAATGTGACTGGAAGAAACAACCGAGCTGGGTACATGTTTGGTGAGATGTGAAAAACTATTTGGTGGTTTGGAACATTTTTTATTTTTCCATATATTTATGGGAATTTCATAGTCCCCACTGACTTTCATGTTTTTCAGAGGGGTAGGTATACCACCAAACAGCAATGTTGTTTTGATTTCTGAGATGAGACAACTGGCCTCCCACTTCAACCTGCCCAGAGATGAAGTTCCTGAGAGTACCAGGGTTACGGAAAATGACCGTCACTGTATTCAAAATGATATTTATAATTATTATATATATATGATGATTATATATGATAAGTATAATGATATATAATGACAATGATAATATATATATATATATTCACTATACACTGATAATGATATCATTTCATCAATTCATTTCATATCGTTATTACCCCGCCAATTAATACTACAATTGGTTGAAAGGGCAAATTCGCGGGTTGTATTCTGGCGCACAACAGAAGAATGATTTCCCGCTTCAAGTGTCCCACCGATCTATTGAAATATGTATATATATAGATAAATAAATATATGTGTATAAATGGAGTTTGAAGCGTATCTAGCTTTATGGCCATAAGGTTAGCATTCCAGACTACCGTGGATGGACGATGAAATCAAACCCCTGCTGTATTGTTGTCGCCCTCGCATCCCAAAATTTCAATGTTGCCTTTGGGCTGCGTGCTTGGGGCCGGTGGACAAAAAAAATAAACGCTAGCTCAGAGGAAATTATATAGAGTTTTGTGCAACACAGAAATTTGGGGCCTGGGGTTTTATGCGGTAGGCGTTTGCAGGTATTAATTTTTTGGTCCATCTGCTGTCTCATGTTTATGCTTCATACTTAAAAAGGTCTTGGTGCTGGTCTCGCCGATGCATCGGCCCCCAGCACTCCAAAGAACCATGACCGCAAAGAACCATAGAAGAATGACCGCAAAGAACAATGACCGCGAAGAAAGATGAATGCAAGAAAACAATGACTGCAATTGACTGCAAGAAAACAATGACTGCAAAGCACAGTCACTGCAAAGAGCAGTTTTGGAAGGAAGTCTCGAACGAATGCTTTGTTTTCACAACTTCAACTTGCAGTGTTTGAAGGAAGTCTGGCACGAGAGCATCATATTGAAAAACTTCAGCTTGCAGGTTTTGACGGAAGATGACGGAAGTCTGGCATGAGGGCGTCATATTTCAACTTGCAGGTTCTTAAGGAAGACTCAAACGAAAGCTTCATTTTCATATTTTTAGCTTGCAGCTAGATGCGCCGCAGCACAGACCCGAGCCTTGCCAGCCAATAGTGGCACAAATCCCTGTGTTTCAAGGTTTTCATATTACCTAATTCCAAACTCTATTTCCTTTTCTAGTACCTTTTCCTAGTACCTAATTCCGATCACCTGTGTTTTTACAGTCAAAGTGGGTCTGCCCAGTCCGTGCTTTCAAAAACATAAAGAAAAGACGATAATATTTTTCCTCTCTTGCAAATGCCTGAGCGCCGTTTACCTGAGTAAAAGCACAGGTAATCGGAATTAGGTAAAGGAATAGGTAATCGGAATAGGTACTAGAAAAGGAAATAGAGTTTGGAATTACTAGGCAATATGAAAACAAAGGGATTTGCGCACTAGAAAAGTCCAAATCTTCCTTTGCGCGATGATACGCTGCTACTTGCATGCGTGCAAGGCTGTACCCCCGTCCCCGGACCGTAGTTCTTGGTTTCATAGATGGTCTCTATATATCTCTTTCATTTAACAATGTTTCACACATGTTTGTGATGATGATCTCAATTGAAAAACATATATTTTTGCGGTTTGATACCTCCAATCAGCATAATTCAAGTGGATAACTAGTGTCATTTCATCATGAACCCAACAGTCAAGGTAAACTGTTGACCAACAGCCAGTGCTCGAGGCTTCCCATCTCCACCTCTACAAACGATACGTCTTTCGTGGCAAACCCGTCCGTGAGTCTTTGTAGAGGCTGTCTTGTACATAGCTTGGAGCGGAGGACTTGGCCGTGGAGTAGTGAAGTGGCAAGCCTGGTGAAAGTAAGTCCCCATGATCATGTCGTGGGGTGATCCCATGGATGAATGGTGTAACTAACCATGGTTACGTTCACCGGCTACGATTGGATGATTTCGCAAGTAGTGACTGGGTGAGATTTTGAAAGCTGAGTCGTGCTTTTTGTGCATGAATCATAGGCTTTAAGCCAGTTACAAAGCATTGAACTCACTCCATGGCCAGTCCAAGTGGAGTTGGAGAACAACGTTTCACACTAAGGTGTAAACTAAGTGGTGAAGGGTTGCTTTGTGTTTGGAGAAGTGGGGAAAGTCAGGCATTCTGATAATCTTAAAGGATCTTAAAGGTATAGTTCGAATCCCACTCAAAACATGTTGAATTTTATTGTGTTTTTGAGGTAGCTAGGCTACACTTTAATAATGGTCGTTTCACAATTGTTGGACTATGGTTCTTCTTGAAGATAGTAACATCGCCCATAAAATATGATACTGCAGCCCTGAATTTATGAATGCCTGGAACATGAATCAGCTATGGTTGTTTGATGTTTCTCATGTGGATCACAGCAGAAAATCGGAGAAAGGCAGTCACTTGTTTTGCCTCCAACACATCTGCTGGGTGATCATCGCTTTAGGCACAGCGCGGTGGAAAAAATGTCGTGAGGGCCGGTGGCCTTGTCGGCCAACATGGCCACATATGGCCACCATTGAAATGGTGGTGGAGAACCTGTTTTTTTTCGTTTGAAAGACCTTGGTGTTTTGGAGCCTTCTCCTTTTTGTCCTGAAGGATCAGGTTTGCTCCAAGTTATTTCCTTTCTACATGATCAGTTGCTGCCGAAGCCAGCAGGCTGTCAATTGAGGGCACTCAAACCTTGGTTTCTACGGGATTCAACATGATGTAACCAACAAAAACATGGGGATATAACATGATCTAGCAAACATGGATAGCTGCTGATAGCTGGATAACTGGATAGTTGGCCCCGAGGATCCCCGTGGATCCCTAGGCTTTATAGTAGTCAACGAGAAAAACTGGGGGTTCAAACATGGAAACCACTTAAAACACATGGCTATATCGAAGTGTGCAAAGCGATCAAATCCAATTGTAGGGCAAAATCAGATCCACCTAGACCCTCCAAGTACCCTTTGAAAATGGTCTTGTACCCCATAGTTGTGGTACTTCAACCATTGTTTTGAGTGGTATTTGAAGGGTCTAGGCATGTTGAATTCTTGTTGAACATGCGAGTGCCAAAACATCTTTCAACCCGGAGCCCAGGTTGAAGGACGAGATTGCCAGGTGGGGAACTGCCCGAATTGTGGGCTAATGATGATTCAGATTTCTCAATAATGATAATGATAGTAATATACAATCAAACATATTATCCACATCATTAAGAATAGATAAGAATAGGAAATAGTGATCGTCATCATCATAATTTCAACAGTGACGTGAGCCCAATGGGTTGGAACAGACGAGTCAATGGTTACAAGGGGTGCCCCAGTTTCGAATGGCCAAATTGGTAAACAGAACTGCGTTAACTATGTTATGGTGATTATGACGAAACTCAATGGGGTTCATAAGCTAACTTCTATCTGGGAGGACTGTGTAGGTACCTGTTTTTGTTACTTGATTTGATTTATGGTATATTGTTTGCGTTGTTTCGTGGCTGTTTGCAGTTTTTGCAGTCTTGGCAATTATGGTACAATCGACAGATCCACAAGTTTAGTGGTCATGTTTGCGATGGCTGTATCATACACACCAACCCTCAGCAGAAGAGATATTCAACGTACGCAGATATTGCGAAACCTTGATTATTTACTATAGATGTAAGTCGCCAATCATTATCCAAAGGTTTCATTTTAAGCGATTCCGAGCAAAATCATGGTTCCAATTGCACCCTTTTGCAGAAAGAGTCCAAAACATTCCAGATCCAACTGTTTGTTGGTTGTACCCTCTGGTAATTTAACAGTTTGCTATTGAAAATGGCCATAGAAATAGTGGATTTACCCATTAAAGATGGTGATTTTCCATGGTTTTTTGTATGTTTTCCGGAGGGTATCACTTGCTTTTGTTGTCCAGTCACAGTCTTCGTTCATGACGGTCGCCAAGCGCTGACAGTCAAATATCCTCCATGATAGTTACGTGTTACGTCTCATTCTGGAGAATATGTTCCAGCTAAATCCCTATTTTTGGCTAAATGTTCCGTCATGTTAGGCAGAATGGGACTTAACAAGCTCTTAGCTGGCGATGTTTCCCTATTTTTGGCTTGTTAAGTCCCATTCTGCCAAATATGAACACAACGGTTAATCCATGTTAATCCACTACGCGGGAATCTTCTGGGAATATTTTTGTGCGTCCGACTGTTCCAGGCGTTTTTTTTGGATATACAATGGATGATAGTGGATGATAGTGGCCTTTTATGCATCACCAGTGGAAGAATTCGATTTTTACGACGGGGAGCTGGGAACCAACTGGGGTTTAGTTTTACCCGATGCATGGCATAGTTTCTTAGATTTTCTTAGATCCCCCATAGACATCCATCCATAAACCATAAAAAATCCCGAAGTGATAAATAGATTCGCTTCAACTTAGCTATCTAAACCCCATTCAAATCACCATGAAACCCAATAAAACCACCATAACTTTGCTGGTAGTCGCGATTTCGTGGCCACGGGTCCATTTCCTCGTCTTGGACAGGATCCAACAGTCCGTCACTGCGGTGTGCTCCGACTTCGAGGAACGGAGGGAGCTACCCTTTAAGAGAGGGGAGCCGGTTGGAGCTACGAATGAAGTTCTCCACATGATTTCTTGATATTTGTTGATATTTGTTGTACGTTTTTGAACTACGACTATTATATAATATTATATAATATGTATATGCTGTATATGTTTATCCTAGTACCATGAGATATTTGATCTGTTTAGATCGTATTCCTCCACTACCTAGTAGTCACTAGTTTTTACCAGGGGATTGACAATTTCCATAAGGGATAACCAGATGACAACTACAAGCTACATCACTGGAACCACTAAACGTTGATTTGTTTATTGTATATAGATAATAATATATTATATATAATATTGTTATATATACTATATGTAGGTTTTATTGTTCCAATTGTATAACATTGTAATACTTTATGCTCTATATATAATATATGCTTTATGTTATTCTGACTATACACCAGTGAATAAGTGTGATTGCTGGTGAATGCTGGCAAGAACATTGAATAAATACTTTTACGTTGTTTACCATCATAATGAATCGTTCGTATTTCCAAGGGTTGTGTTAGGGTCCGGGTTGGGCGATTCCCTTTTTATTTTCATTCTACATACTTATGTAACTCCTGCTCATAGTCCCCTTGGTCATGCAACCAGCCTACGTCAGAATCATGGGATCTATCGCTTATGATTTATGACGGTTTCCGGCACTTTTCCCTCATAAGAATCATTCAGTTCCACCACAAATTTTGGTACAAATAGGTATGGTGATACAATTACAAAGAAGTACTCGACAATTACTATCACAATCACAAAGACTAGTATGGTACTGCGATTTTAATGCACTTAAGCTTGTTTAAACAGAATATGTGGATACAGTACATGTGGTGGTTCACCCCTGTTCATCCTATTATGGCGGTGCCATGCCAGACATTGCCATCCCCCTAATACTAAATACCTTCCATATGGTCCCCCAAAATGAATAGATTCCATACTAGCCATACCAAACCATGGCTTCTAAGGGGGTATGTAACACGAAGGGGGAAGGGTTGTTCGTGCATTTCGCAGGAGCACAAGCGTGCTTCCACGGCGATTCACAACAAGCTCCAAGCGCAGGTTTCTCCGGCTTTGGGTGTCCCAAAACAAAAGCAGGGGGTTCCTACAAGGGAGATAGCTAATGGAAAATCCTATTTGGATGAGTTAGGGGTACCCCGATTTAGGAAACCTCAAAATGGATGTGTCTGAAAAGGGGGAGGTACCACAAAACAGAACAAAATGATTGGCAAATGATGGCGACACTTAAGGGTACTCTGTTTCAAGACAAACTCAAACGGGTTGCTCGAAAGCGCATGTTTGGCTTGTTATGCTTAATGTATTTCTGATACTGTAGCGCATTTGTGTACCTAATGTTCCAATCGTTTCTAGCATGATTGGAAAAACATAGGCATACCTAAAGCCATCACATATCATGTTTGGTCCTTTTGTCTACCGGTATACCTTTGCAAAAAACACATGGCGATGGAAGATCCGACAGCAGATATTTCCGCAAGAGTCCTGGCCAACTGTTGTTCGTTGCCAGGTTTATCCCGAGGAACATGCATGTTTGTGTGCCCTTAAACTATTTATTTGTCAAATGCAAATAACTTGCGTTTTGTCGAACTTTTGCTGGCAAAGTTTTGCCGACGAGGTTTGCGGCGAAGAATCGGCAAAGGTTTATTTGCTTGCATTGTCCTCTTCAAACAGATTCACCGAAATTCCACCACAAACTTCACCATGCACCACGGCCTCAAACCCTTAAAAAAATCCACCGGGCGGCGACATTTTCTCGTCCAAATATATTCATTAAAGTTTTCGTGGCACGGGGCCAGTGTTTTGATGCAATGCATTTCAGAGCGGCTCACCTCCCCAATTGCAGGTTTAGGTGGCTACAGCAAGGATCATGTTTTTTTTCTACCCGAAAAAATGGCGCAGGCACTTTAGGGGAACCCTAATATACCTCTGAGTAGTCCAAATTATGGCATGTTTTCCTGATCGATGTTTCCATGCTTAGAGCAAGCTTCGGGATAAATTGGCCTCATGTGGCGACATTATTGGAATGATAGGAATTGGATTGCGCTAACTATCTCTAAAAAGCCGATTGTTTCAGGTTAATTTAATGAGTCATGATTATATCATTATCACTATTAAGTGTAATATGCATTCCATTCTATTAATGAATACCAAACGCGAGCAGAACGAGAGATTTGGGATTGAACTTCAATGTCATCCTCAATGAAATTTGAACAGTTTGAGGTTCAATGCAGAAAAGACAGCGCGTTCAACCTATTCGTATAAATACATCCTAAGTTTGATTTGAGGTTGCACGCTGACATCCTTTGTATCCTGCAACATTTGTGGACTTTGGCAGGTTTGGACTGTTGAGGAAGCAAAAAAGCAGGCACAGCGGGAATGTTATTGGTTGCAGTGTGGCAGCTGCCATGGTTGGATGGGTTTGTCTGAAAGTGCGTTGGAGAATGTTGGAGACACTCGCATAGTCAGTGAGTATGAACTTTATTTGTCGGCACAAGTGTGTCTTTCCGCAATGGTATTATCCCATACCCAAAATGGATCAAAATGGTCCACCAGTCCACCCAGTTCATTAAATTCCAACAGGCGCGTGTCTGGAACTGCAGTGACAAACCCCAAAATTGCTCTAGATAATAGGGAACATGATGATAAACTACGAGATTTTGAGGTACACTGTTGTCAGGCAAACCCTTATGTTCAGAAGCCCCCTGACACACCATTTTTTTGTATTTTATTGTGATCTTTTGACGTTTACAGTGAAATCACACGTTACTGGATGGTAAAGCCAAGATGCTCTTTGGGGAAATGCCCAGTTGTGGTTGGTCATACCGACCATATGTTTGGATAGTCGAATATATGTTTTTTGACTTAAAATCACCATGTTTAAGTGGATGCCATCAGAATTTTTCATGTTTAATATTGTTTAATACAATGGGTGTATCATGGTGATTGGCAATGCATCAAACACATACCCGTTTCCTTTTCCTGACTCTCAGTTCCCTGAGATCCAATGGTTTTTGGTGGATTTGAGACCAATTCCCTTGCTTTGCTTCAGGTGATGTGGGTTTCATGAAACATAAGAATTCCACCATTCGATATTCGGGGAATCTCTTGGGAATTGGCATGTTGGCCCTAAAAATATTGGCGAATCAGGTGGTAGGGAGCCAAGGAGCTATGGAAATCCATATCAAAATGGAGAACCAGTTGGAGGTATATGAATAATACCTCACCATTATGAATAACCACCAAGGACCGAAATTGAGATACCTACACATATAAGGCCTATGTAATTAAGGGCTCAATTTCAAGGAATAGCCCCAGAACACATGGCCTTATATGGTAGAGTCCCTACATTTTAGGGTCCTTAAAATTTCACTGAACCATGGCCACCCGCACTTGTGTTCGTTGCTTTATTCGCCGAATTAACGACAATGAGTTTTATCTACCAATATCTAATAATATCTAACCCCAAGTTGTTGTAGTTATGAACCAACTTAGCTAAGAAACTAGTGCACCATATCATATACTATTTTTCGATATTTTTCGGGGTTCAAACAGCCAAATAAGTGAGTTCTTTACTCAATAGAAAACTAATCATTAATTAAAATAAATGTGGGACAACCAGTCAAAATAAGCCAAAAAAGTCAAGCACAAACCCCCAGGAGGCAGCTGGCTCGCCTTCGCATGTGTCGCAGAAGTCCTACCAGCCATTGGTGACGATGACAGCACCGCGGCAGCCATGTTTGGTGTTCCACCTGGCCCTATGGAAAATTGGCTTTTTTTCATCCCCAACTGACTGGGTGAGTAGTTCAATCCCTTCGTGTTTTGCTATGGGAAAATGGCCAAAAGGAGCAACAGATCACTTTTGTGTGGACTATCGAAGGTTGACCATGTAGTTGACTTGAAAAACAACAAGGAACACATTGAAATTTGTAATTTTTACTTCAAATTACCATTCACCATTGATAAGTATGTGGATAAAATGAGAGTTAAGTGGTAAATCAATCAATTATCAATGATGGTAATCCATTTATAGAATCCACATCTATAAGCCAATTTTTTGTAGCCTCCGGTAAACCAATAGATGTGGAAAAGCCAAGGTGAAACCCCGGGGAAACGATCTACTTTGATGGTGGGTTTTCCACAGTCGTTGCCAGCCATGTTTTTTGGCTGTTCGTGAACGCAGGAAATCACAGAACTTTGAAAAGACATGAGCAGGATGTTTGAACAAGAACAAGCTCATGTCTTTTTTGTCCTAAATAATGGGATTGTTATGGGATTGTTATGGGATTTTATGGGATTTGATGGAATTTCAATGTCCTAAATTAAAAGACCAAAGATTTTGTGGATGGATTTGCACTGCACAGGGGTGATAAGCATTCAGCGAGATGCAGTTTGGGTATTTACCTTGATACAGCGGTTTGCGAAAATGGCACACATACGAGACTCACAGAGACAAAGCTCCTGAGCGTTTTACTGGGCACAGTTAAATGGCTTGCGAGATTGGTTGCGCATGGTAAGCGTAACAAAAATAAAGTCGCGGGAAAAGTCATAGTATGTTGAATGGAAGTTTGAATGTGAACATCATCCTATAGATCGTTCTTTTGTTTGCAATGGGCGTTTGAGTCTATAGTCTATATATGTCTATATGTGATCGCGTGGAAAGCATATTAAGAATGATAGATGTGTAAATGGGAAGATCATTTATCAATGAAGATTTTCCAGCTCGCCAAGTTGGGTAAATAGGACATATTAGGACATTCAATGAGAAAAACAATGGGGAGGCCAAACCAGAAATGTAATTTTCCAGGGAATTGTTTCAGATTTTGCTATAAACGGATATATAAATAGAATACCTCCACAAAATGGTAAACATACTACAAGTATGTGGCAAAAGTACTGTTTTTTTTGGTACTTGGAGGGTCTCTATATGATTACTTTGGGAGGTTTCTGCAGCTGGTGGATCCGCCAGACTCTGCCAGACAAGTCTAAGAGTTTTGCGACTGGTGCTGTCCTTGGCATTGCCAGTATTACCATCTGGTTATTTGTTACATAGCCATGGTATAGATGGCCCATTTATAGATTGTTTACCTGGGTTTACCTATTAAACATGGTCATTTTCCATGGCTATGTTAAATAACCAGAGGGTATCCATTATAATCCTCGAAAGCGACTGGTGAAGGCTAGTCATTTCATTGATTTCATGTGGCAATTCTGGTGAGGTATAGTTTTCACTAGTGATACTTGTAACATCTTGTAACTTGTATATACTATATGTTATATATTTGTCGGATGAACATAACTAGCCATTGTTTTAGCGTTGACAGGGCTAGGAAGGTTTTGACTCATCCCCACAACGGTTATCATACCCACCGATTGTCACCTGGGAGGTATTATTCTCCGGCGGAAGGGGATTCCAAGGTGGTCCCCTCGTTAAAAGTTGGTTTACTACCCATCCAAATACAGTCAAATAGGATCAAATATGAATATACATTTTTTACCAAATATTTGTTAAAAGTTATATTTCCAAATATTTCCAACATGTTTTCTCACCATAAACCCACTAAAGCCCAACGTTTCCCTAGTGAAGTGTTGCTCCCGAGGCTTCCCAGGGCTCCCTGATGCATCCTGGAACGGGGTGCCTTGGCGGTGGAAAAAATTCTTGGGGGAAGCGAGGACTTTGTTATGGTTTATGGTTTATGGTGATTTAGTGATGATTTAGTGGGTTTCTTTAGGGATTTTTTTGCATGGTGATAAGTAATGGGATTTCATCGGTTTATTTTCATGATGATTTCGGCGGATTTCACCAGAATTTGGATTGATAGGGATCTATAATTCTTGGGGATCTTAGGATAATCCACTGGGGATATAATGGGGATATATCGGATATAATGGGAATATACGTGAATATACAGATACATGTATACATGAATATACCATCTGGACATCCCCGAACTCCATGCAGGTTTGAGTGGGAAAGTCATCTAGAATTGAGGATTTTCACTCAAACCATGTTTGATTAGCAGATAGTAAATGGGAATTCAGCATGACTGATTTTAACCTTGGGATCTCACCAAGATAGAAATGAGCAGAAAATCAAGACAGCCAGGTAATATATATATATACATACAATACATACATATATATACATACATATATATATATACACATATACATATATATATATATACATACAGAATATGTCCTAGGAAAAATGGTGTGAGCAAACAAACAACGGGCAACGATCCATAATTTGGGTCCTGGTTCATTCCAATGGCTGCGAAGTGTCACCTGTCACCTAAAGCCACACGATGAAACCGGGAAAGTGGAAAAGTGGGGACCATCCTGTACCTGTCCAACAGAACCGGGGGGGCGACATTATTGACATACATATTACATAGGTGTTCCATATATGTTACATTGCATACATGTTCCATACACGTTACCCTCTGGTAAACTCACATGGCTAGAAACAAATGGCCATAAAATGTTCGTTGATTTACATGTTACAAAAATGGTGATGTTCCATACAGGATGGTGCCCCCCAGTGATGTGAACGTTGGTTTATAAACCGCATGAATACAATAATTATGGTTAACTAACTATGGTTTATGGTAGATTTAACTATAGTTAATGGAGTTTATAAACCATTAACTATAGTTATATCTACCATAAACCATAGAATTCAGCCACAGCCATATCTCAACTGAACGCGAGCTCGACTTTTTTCCCCGTCCTGTCATGTAAACTTTGACCCTCTGGGGTACCCTCTGGTACACTGTTACATAACTATGGAAAATCACCATGCTATCAATGGGAAAATCAACCATTTCTATGGCCATGTTCAATAGCTAACTGTAACAGTCATTACCAGAGGTATATACCGTTGATATGGGGGTTTCCTAAAATAGGGATACCCCCAGTTATCATCCCATTATAAACCATTTACTGGTATTTTAAACCATTGGCTGTTTTAAAATACCCCCAAACCATTGGTTTCCTAAAATAGGGATACCCCATATCAAAATCATCATTGATGTTCCCTATTATACCATTGATATGATGGTTTTTTTTTCCATTGATATGGGAGTTTCCAAATCATCCATTTTTAGATTGGGATTTTCCCATGAAAACCCATTTTTCATAGGTTGGTAACATTAAATAACCAACCATTTACATAGGTTTACATGGTTACCATTAAATTTACCATCCATTTTTATAGATTATAAAAATACCTGGAAAATCCCAATCTATACATTGGTATACGTATATTTTGGTTCCAAATCAACATTTAGATTGGGATTTTCCATGATTGGGTTCCAAATCATTTACTTACCATACATTTTTATAAACCAACCATTTACATGTTACCATCGACTCCTCCAGGTCTGTGCAGGTCCCACAGCCCATGCTCCACCATGGGACTTCACCTCGGAGGCAGTGTCGGACGTGTTGTTCGAAGGACTCGGGATCGAACAATCTGTGGTTTCAAGGTGGTGATTGGAAATAGTGGTTAATAGTGGTTAATAGTGGTTAATAGTGGTTAATAGTGGTTAATAGTGGTTAATAGTGGTTAATAGTGGTTAATAGTGGTTAATAGTGATTAATAGTGG